CAGATTTTCCCCTTAAAGTGGACCTATCGGAATTTCTGAATCACTTTGAACAATGCCTTACGTTTACATCCTTTTATACGGTACTATATATCTTTTCACAATGAATGTTTTGGAAAGGGACATCAACTACAAAAACATAAATTTGGACATTTCCAATGTTTTCAGCAACTTTGAAATCAAGGGAATGGATTCTGGGGGTAGTATGCGAGCTTAAAAATTGGTAGATTTTGCAAAAAATGACATTTTTAAAGGTTTATTGTATGTGTAGAGTGGAACTTTTTGAACAATCTAAATTTTCTATGTGTAAATTCAAAAGGTGGCAAGTATTATTACAAGAAGAAAATATAGAATGCGTGACTCCTTCCTTACTAAACAACACTGTGAACATGGCTTCCGCATAGCATATTTTTATGCTTGAAACTTTGTCTGTCAGAAATGTTGCATGGTTCCAGGAATCCAAAATACAGATTTTCATAGTTGAATGTATGTTCCTGTATGAACACATAATTGGCTTCCTCATATGCTAGTCAGCTCAATCAGGTGCATACCTAGAAAGATGCAGTACCACTCAGAACATAGTGGTAAAAATGAGCTAAAATTAGAAATTTTTCCTGTTTGTGGAATGATCTTATTGTGTTTGACAGTTGACAGAGTAATAAAATCGTGAATAGTTCTGCGAAACTAAAAAATTTAAAGCCGTCAGTATTTTCAGATTTTTTATTAACGAAAAACTTCATTTTCAGTACATGTTTGTCAAAAACGGATGTGGTCCAATTTTGAGTATAGATACAACCAAAGTTTTTACATTAATGAATACATTTTGATCCCTTTTTGCTATATTTTGTATTTTCATTACATTTTAGAATCTGTGTGTTGGAGTTATCTTTCATTGATTCAAGTGAACTTATACTTATGTGACGTTATTTCGGGCCATTTTTTCGATTTTTTCAATTTTGCCAAATTGAAGAAATGGTAGCGGTCTCAAATGGTATTCATTAATTGACAATCCGAATTAGTATTTACTTCAATTATATCCTGTTCAGTCCATATTCACAGTTTTCGAAAAATTTCAAAATTTAAAGTGAACTTATAATTATGTTACGCAGTGTATAAGACCCTTTTGGGGAGTTGAACTCATGAACCTAATATTTGAGAGACTGCCCGGCTACCAACTGAGCTACGCTGTCTACAAGTCAAAATAAGAAGAGAAAACTCATACAATTTCCTACAAAATGTGTCAAAAACTATAAGAGTTTACAGCAATTATCTCGAGCAAACGGAAGTCATAAATACGATATTTGTTCCTTTTTGTATCATAAAAGCAATTAGACGACACCAGATTTGGGTATGGCCAAAACAAGTGACAGTCACAATTGCTCACCGCGCCTCACAATGATGAGTGTGTTGTTGTTCACTGAAAAATTTTGAAAAGGAAAAACGACACATATCCGAGCATTCAATTGAAACTGAAATTCTACCTTGTGAGGTGATGATTTTGTTTTATTTACGTTTCAATCGTTCAAGGTTTTCAAAATGCTTTAGAAAATCTCCAACATTAAATTGTGTGTCCTTTCCTCCTCAGAAAACAGATTTCAGACTTTTCCATCCCAGAAGAAAATGCATTTTGCAAAGTTTTGAAAGTTTTGCTACAAAAATTATTTCATCGTCTTCGTGCATGTTGCACTCAAAATCTGAATTCATCAATTATCTCAGTCAGAAAAATGCAATTCATAAATACCATAATTACCATAAATTCATATTCTTAGTTTAACAATCAGTCAACGTCGGTTATGATCGAAATAAGTGACAGCCACCATGGTTTATCACATGACAAAATAATCTGGATTGTTGTGCAGTTTCAATTGAATGCTCCAAAATGATTCGTTCTCCCTCATTAAAATTTGACAGTGAACAACAACACACAGATTATTGTGCCGGGCGGTGAGCAACGGTGACTGTCACTTGTTTTGGCCATAAACAAATCCGGTGTCGTCTAATGGATCTAATGAACCAAAAAGGCGCATATATTGTATTTATGATTTTCGCTTCCTCGAGATAATCGCTTCAAACTGTTCATTTAATAGCATATTGATTTGTCTCGTAGGTGCTCTTAATTGTATTTACATCAATGCAAATCACGAAGCTCCACCCATTCCGGATCATATAAAAGTACGACTCAAAAAAAGAATTTTCATTATCTACAGTACCGGTCAAAAGGTTGTAAACGCAAGGTTTTTTGAGCATAACTACTTTTTGAGAGCAGATATCGAGCCAAAATTTTCACCAGATATTTCTGTAAAGGTTTGCCAAATCGTGGCCAAGTTTCATACAAAATTTTGAAAAAATAACGTTTTTTAGAGAAAAAATTGAATTTTCGAAAAAAAAATCAAATTTTGACCTAAATTTTTCAAAAAAGCATAATTTCCGAAAACCACTTTTATTCAACACAAAACATATAAAAAATAACAAATTGAATCTAATATTTTGTTGCAAAGCCACGAGAGTCAATGACAGCCTGACATCTGCGCTGCATGGAGTCGAGCAAATTGTCGATTACTGTCTGTAGGATCTTCTTCCATTCCTCTTCCAGTTGTTGGTACTTTTCGTCCACATTTTTGGCTTTTTTCCCTACCAATCTTCTCTCCAGCTCATCCCATAGATTCTCGATCGGATCTCCAAGAGATGCTCCATTTTGGTGTCCCCGAAAAATGGCTTTTTGCTCCTCAACGGTCAAGTTACGCTTTTTCCCAGCTCTTGGCATACCTGAAAACTAAAAGCTACTAAAAAAACATTGAAAACATTGATAAATTTTGAAAAAAAATAGGTCTGAAAAAAAGGGCGAAAAACCCGATTTTTTCGAAAAACTGAAAAATCTGTAGAATCGCGTCAGCGTGTTTGCGTACAACTCGCTGACCGTAGTCATACCTTTTGACTTGCCCCTGTAGTTACCAGAAAAAAAATCACGGAATTTGGTTGGGTATTCGTTGAGTTATGCTCGAAAAACCCTGCGTTTACAACCTTTTGACCGGTACTGTATGTATTTCCAATGACCGACTGTGTATTTTCCTTTATGCATACTAATCTTTTTATTTCTTTTGTTTTCATTTTCACAGAAAATTGAAACTTAAACTGTCAGTTAGCATTCAACCTGTGTAGTTTCCGGCAGCGTTATAACAAAAAAAAAAGATTTTCTTCAAAACTTCAGCGGAGATAGGCTTAACTTTTGTTTTCCGGCTTTCACAGATTTGTTTTCCGGCTTTCACCGAAATCACAAGAAAATTTTCAGCGTACTCATTGTGTTTGACAAAAACTCATTCAAATGACAAGATTTGCTCTGAAGTTTCTTATTAAAGTCAAGCATTGATTTCTTGCATTTGTGGACATCAATTTTTATCTTTATCTTCTTGCTCACTTTTAAATGCAAACATTCTGGCAGTCTGTCAAACATCTGCCCACAGGAGACAGCCACAACCGAGCTTGTGTCCAATGCATTTCATCTTCGCACTCAAATCTTTTTTCTCGATCTTTCGCGAAACAGATCACTTGTATCGAAAAGTTTGCAACAAATGTCCTGATGGAAGTTTTATTTGAAATAATCTGTTGCTCACTCTTGTTGTTCAATCTTTTTTCTTGAAAAGGCACTACCATTATCTGTTTTTTCATTTTTCTCTGTTTCTTTTGTAGATGCCCTTGAATGTCACAACAAAGCTTTTTTCATTCCATGCGTTCGTTTTCCACTCATGTTGCATTTGTATGTGTATTTCAGGTTCTTTTATTTCTTTGATTCTAAACACTTCAACCTCCTTGAATCGAGAATTCAGGAAAAAGTTATATTCTAACATTGTATAGAACTTTCTATGTACCTGAGTTTCATTGATGAGTCTTAGTTTGGACCCACGAGTGGATTGAATGGAGAGATTGTCCGGTAGGTTACCGGTTTTTATCTTCTTCACCCTCTTTCCAAGTCTACAGGAGAGAAATCTCCCCCGATAAATACATGCAAACGCGAGTGGGTCACAGTAACCCGCGCGAATCCATCCCATACGAATATAACCGTGTTTTTCGTTATTTATCTATTCTTTCTGTTCCTCGCACCTTCTTCCCTTCTCACTCTCTCCTCTCTAAAGAAACTGCATAATAATAGTCCGATAGTAGAGTATTGTGTTTGTCCACCACCATATACTATCATACAACGAATAACCTTGCCAACTCACCGTTACGATTTGCGCTGTTTATTCTTTCTTTCGTTTTGTAGGTAATTATGTTTTGTAGGTAATTATCCTGGATTTTGAGACAACTTCCGAAGGAGAAACTCACGACTATCCATTCGAAGTTATCCAATTCAGTGTGGTACCATATGATGTGAAAGCGAAAACTATTGTGAGTTTTTTCCCCACATTTTTCAATTCGATTTTGAAGTTTCAGCTCGAAGGACATGCGTTCAACAAATTTGTTCGGCCGGTTGTCAATCCAGTTCTTTCAAAGCACTGCACTGAGTTCACAGGTATTTCACAACATGTGAGATTTCCAATTTTTGAAATTTCTAGGAATCAAGCAAGAGTCTCTCAATGCTGCTGACACATTCCTTGTTGTCTACAAGCAGTTTTTGAAGTGGCTCCAGAAAAATGGATTCCAAGAGAGACATTTTGCAATTGTCTCGGACAGCCGTCAGGATATGTGGAGAATTGCTCAGTACCAATTCCGATTGGTTCAGGAAACAATGCCATCAATGTTCCGTCAGTGGATAAATATCAAAAGGACTTTCGATGACGGTCTCGAAGATGGGCAGAAAAACAAACTTGTTGGAAGGGTTGGATTTTGGAAAAAATCTCAAATTGAAACAAACTTTATTTCCAGAGTAACATGGAAAAAATGCTGAATTATTTGGGAATCGAATTCTCGGGAAGAGCTCATGATGCGTTGTCCGACTGCCTTACTCTTGCCGCTATCACTCAGAAAATTCTCGAAATGGGTTGCCCTGTCACAATCAACGAGATGGTTTGCTGTTCAGCTATTGTGAGTTCTCAATTAGTTATCAATGTCTTATTCTTTTTGGTTTGCAGTGGCGCAAGCAGCCCATGAACATGAGACAATACGCCAACTGGAGAACGGATTTTCAATCTGCAACCAAAATCTACGAGCGAGTCCTTCCGTTGACAATCAAAGTGATTCGCAGCTATTCCGCCAGTATGTATGGTGTCTGCCCGTACTGCAAGAAGCCACCAACCGTTTGTGGAGCTGTCCACAAGCAACCACCAAGAGAGTTCTACGCCAGTCTCACTGAACCGTGTGTTTTTGCCAAAAGTGCTGGACATTATTGAATTCGATTTTTTTTTCGATATTTCTGTTTTATGTTGTTCAGTAAATTTTTTTTGTCACGGTGCAAAATTTATGGAGCAATGGGAATGATTTTTAACAGTAACGAAAAAAGAGAAATAGAAATCGGCAATGAGCCTGCGATATTCTAGAGATTCTAAATTGCAGTCATTTAAGCAATTAAAGGGAGAGATGTAGGGCTTATTAAATTTGCTATAATATTTAAATAAAAATAATTTTTGAACGCTTTCAAGTAATCTAATGTGATCTTTGAGGATGGGGGAAAATACAATAGTACCATATTCCAGGATAGGACGGATATAAATAAATGAAAATTTCACGAAAACGTCAATAGTAGAACGGCGGAGGATACTAAAGAAAATATTTACTCGTTGGCGTGTATTTCGAAATGCTTATTTTTTATTTGCTAATTCCCCCCCCCCCCTTGCAGCAGTGTTTTCACTTCATAAACTTATTAAAATCATAATCAACTAAATTTATATTTGAAAAACAAGTTTTAAATTTTTTGCGCTGGAGGATACCACTTTTCAGCTCCTTGCTCACTCTTAAACGACCACAATCTGGCGAACTATAGAACGTCATCCCAAAGACGACAGCCACAGCTAAGTTTGTATTCAATGCACTTTATCTTTCGATTTAGACTTTCTCTTTTGCTCAAAAAAACCTGCAAGTAGCTTTTATTGCCTCAAAATGGGCTAATTTTGAGATGGTAGTTTTTCCAATCGCTTGCGGCAGTGTTGTTGTTTTATAAACTTATTGCAATCATATAATTAGAAAAAAATATAAATTGAATTAAATTTTTATTTTAAAAGCAAGTTTTACTTTTTGCGCTGGAGGATACTAAGTGTTATCTTCTTGCTCACTCTTAAACGCCCTCATTCTGGCAATTTATCAAAGATCATCCCACGAACGACAGCCACTACCGAGTTTTTATTCAATGCATCATCTTTAGGTTCTGAGTTTCAATTCTTCTCAATCATTCTCAACTTTCCAAAAACTCTTCACTTGTATCAAGAAATTTGCAACAGATGTCCCGATTGCGGTTTTCATTAAACTTTTGTTATGTTTTACAAACTATAAAACATCTTTCCACAGACGACGTAACAGATTTCCCGATTGGGGTCATATGGACGTTTTTCAACAAATCACTTGCCACATCTTTCTACAAAATGCAAATATATATTCTTTATATAAATTCAATGGATTATTATTCTACGTATTTGTGGCACGCGTGTTCATTTCTTATTGCATTGTTTCTTTCAATATATTTCAATTCAAACAATTGAACCTCATCGTGGATTCAGAAAAAAGGTTCTCTGTACTTTTGACTGTCACCGGAATCATCTTCTGTCTCAACGTTCCTCATGAACACAGCACATTTCTATGACTCACCCCATCTTCCTCCTTAATAGCACTGCATTTTTTTTATCCATTCGATTAAAACTTTCATTGATTCTTGCTCAGGCCATAGGAAACGGTCGTCTCCTTTTTAGAGTATCCTATTTTTTCAACGACCTTTATTCCTTGTAGCGCCCTCATTCTGGCAATTTATCAAAGATCATCCCACGAACGACAGCCACTACCGAGTTTTTATTCAATGCATCATCTTTAGGTTCTGATTTTCAATTCTTCTCAATCATTCTCAACTTTCCAAAAACTCTTCACTTGTATCAAGAAATTTGCAACAGATGTCCCGATTGCGATTTTCATTAAACTTTTGTTATGTTTACTTGCAATAGTTTTTTTTTCCGGAAAATACGCTAATTTTTTTACGTCTGGAACGCAGCATTTTGTTTTCGATAAAAATGAAGGTATAGCTTCTAATTGACAGTAGTTTTCATCAATCTGGGACAAGCATTGAAGTCGTCAACCACTTTTTTGGGGCTCTTTTCCGTAACTTCAGATTTAAATTTTCATATTTTAAAATCATTCTCAATCTTTTGCGAAACAAATCGCTCGTATTGAGCAATTCTCACAAATGTACTAATTGTGTTTTTTATCGGTAAAAGTTCCGGTTGTGAATCATTTGTAGCAAACGAAACTTTTTTCCGGAAATCACGCTATCATTGATTGCTTTATTACTACTGATTACACGTTCTTGCTATCAACACGTTGATTTTTTTCATTCTACGTGTTTGAATGTTGCATGCGCATGTCCTATTGCATTGTTTCTTTGGATTGACCAATTCAAACCGCTTAACCTCTTTGAAATGAGGGGCCTTTGAAAAGTGATTCTCTGTACTTGACACTATTGCTCGAAGCCTCTTTTATATCAACGTTCCTTCTGTGCCAACACTTTTCTATGACACACCCTCTTTTTGGTTTACCTTTTCTTTATTAAAGTTCCCTTTTTTTCTAAGTCTCATGTTTTTTGAATGGTCTTCTTCATTTTTTTGGTGCTCCTTAAACTGGAATAGAGAAAATTAGATCCCGATAGAACAGTAAAGTAATTTGTGTGTATCGTATTTTTATATAACAATAAAACAGCACACTCACTTTCACTTTTTTTCACAGTTATTATTAGGTTGGCGGGAAAGTCTTTGTCACTCTGTTTGTTTAATCACTGTTCTCGTATATGGAGGCTGTGTATGATATCGACTCTAGTGAATAACAAGGTGATAAGAACCTTCCATATAAACAAGTCCCCATTTCCTTCCCTGCTCCTCATCTGTAATTGAAACGATATGTTTGTTCCCACTGCTATTCACATCAGACATGTTTTGATTTACCTCTTCCTATCTCACACCACGATGAAGGATTCGGAAACTTTCTTGAAGAATGTGTACAACACACATGCCCCTCACTACAATACTATTCGCAATTGGTTCCATCGTTTCGAAAAAGATGACTTCTCGCTCGATGAAAAGGATCGCTCTGGGAGACCCCGTGAGTTGGATTTGGACAAGCTGAAGCACGCATTGCAATCGGATCCATTTCAATCTAGCCGTGAACTAGCTGTCACATTCGGAGTTCACCATAGCACAGTCCTTGAAGGTTTGAAGTCTCTTGGAATGAGAAAACTTTTTGGTCGATTCATACGTCATCACCTGACTCAAGCCAACCTTGACCGCCGAGTCGACGATTCGATTACTCTTCCACTCTCCACGCGGGCGATCGATGGCTGGACCGGCTAATAACCGGAGATGAGAAGTGGGTCTTCTACGATAATCACCACAGGAAATCCCAGTGGGTTGGAGAAGGAGAGAGCCCACAGGATGTCCCCAAACCCGACCTTCATCCGAAAAAAGTTATGCTCTCTGTGTGGTGGGGAGTGGACGGCCCCATCTACTGGGAACTTCTGCCCGAGGGCAAAACAATAACTGGAGACCTCTACACTACTCAACTACGAAACCTCAAGAAAGCAGTCGACCGTTCGGCCCTGAAAGACAAGAAAGTGTACTATCAACATGATAACGCTCGCCCACATGTTTCGAAACAAGTGAAGCAGGAGCTGATGGGATATGGATGGAATGTTCTCCCTCACCCCCCGTATTCTCCTGATCTTGCTCCTTCCGACTATTGGTTATTTGGCGATATGACACGTGCCTTCGAAGGAAGAAGCTTCAATTCCCGTGGAGCGGTCGAAGCGGCACTCAAACAATACTTTGCCTCACGCCCGGCTGGATTCTACCGCAATGGAATCCATAAATTGAGGGAACGTTGGAGACATGTTGTTGATAATGATGGACAATATAATTAATTATTCGGTTATTTTTTCTTTGAGAAATAAACTATTGAAAAAGTGACAAAGACTTTCCCGCCAACCTAATAAAACTATTTTATTTTCTCTATATTTCTCGTTCTTGCTTTTCTCGAACTGTCACCTCTTCGCATTTTATTTTGATGTTTTCAGATAATCATGCCTCCCTACAATTGCCCGTTTGACCATCTTCTGATTTTGGACTTTGAGACCACCTCCGGAGGAAAAAACCGTGACTATCCGACAGAAATTATCCAGTTCAGTGTGGTCCCGTTAGATGTAAAAGCGAAAACTATGGTAGGCTAACTTTTCTGATTCTTCAAATTATATTCCGAAGTTTTAGCTCGAAGGAATCGCGTTCAACAAGTTTGTTCGGCCTGTCATCAATCCAACTCTTTCTGAGCATTGCGCTGAGTTAACAGGTATTATTGCTGTGTGGGAGATTTTTCATGTTTTAAATCTTACAGGAATCAAGCAGGAGTCGCTCAATTCTGCAGACACATTCCTTGTTGTCTATAAGCAGTTTTTGGAGTGGCTTCAGAAGAATGGATTCCAAGAGAGACATTTTGCAATTGTCTCGGACAGCCGTCAGGATATGTGGAGAATTGCTCAGTACCAATTCCGATTGGTTCGGGAGACAATGCCATCAATGTTCCGTCAGTGGATAAATATCAAAAGGACTTTTGATGATGGTCTGGAGGATGGGCAGAAAGAAAAACTTGTTGGGACGGTTGGATCGTTAGATAATTCTCAAATTGAAACAAACGTTCATTCAGACCAACATTGAAAAAATGTCCAATTATTTGGGAATCGAGCTTTCCGGAAAAGCTCATGACGCGCTGTCCGACTGCCTCAATATTGCCGCCATCACACATAAGATTCTAGAAATTGGCTGCCCAGTGACGATCAACGAGATGCTTTGCTGTTCGGCAATTGTAAGTTCTTAACTAGGTAACAAGATAACAAGTAGGGAAATTCAGAACTCTCATTTTCAAGGTAGTTATATTTTTGAGACACTTCAAGTCACGTTTACAGTGACTTTTTCAAAACTTTAATTTATCCGTTCTTCATTTACACATGGTACCTTTGAATGCATTGAAAAGAAATACACGTAGATCACAAAAAGTTTACTGCACAAGTTTCGGTTTTTGGGAGAAGAGAATGTCATTATACCGAAAAACCTGTATTAGAAGAGTCGGCCCTTCTATTTTTCAAAGGCACCTCCGGAGGGCCCTTCTATTGCAGGGGCCCTTCAATTAAAGGGGGCCCTTCTATTATTCCGGCCACTTTTTATTGAAATTTCGCATCAAAAACTTCGACGATTTTTTTTTTAATTTATTCAAATCGGTCAATTTCATCAAAATGGAGCAAATTTTTCATTAAAAAATTATTGTTTTATTAAATTTCTTTGAATTTTTGGAATTCTCTTATTTTTTTTCACTGAAAACGTACTGAAGTTTTACAATTTCAAGACATGTTTCTTCCATTACGGGGCCCTTCTATTACAGGGGTCTTCTATTTTTTACAGGTTTTACGGTAATTTTTTTAAAGCTAATTTATAAAAATCATTCGAAATAGTGGTATGAAAAATGCGTTATAGTTTCCCAAGTTAATGAAATCAGATGCAAAAATAACTATTTGAAAGTTGATGTTTGTTGTATATTTATTCCATTTTATTTACAGTGGCGCAAGAAGCCCATAGACATGACACTCCACGCCAACTGGAAAATGGACTTCCTATTGGCACACAACATATTTCATTTGGTCCTTCCGTTGACCATCAAAGTGGTCCGCAATTATACCGCCAATATGTATGGTGTCTGTCCGTACTGCAAGAAGCCACCAACCGTTTGTGGAGCTGTCCACAAACAACCACCAAGAGAGTTCTACGCCAGTCTTACCGAACCATGTGTTTTTGCCAAAGCTGCTGGATTTTATTGAACTTTTAATTTTTTAATTTTTATATTGTTGTTTTGTGTTCCAGTAAACTTTAGAAGTATACTCGGCAGCTTAAAAACCTAAAAAACTTATATTGCAAAGAATTTATAATCTTTCTTCTAAAAATTTCTCTCGGCAGCGGATTGATATAATATAATTTGATTGAATGTTCTCTTTAAAAACAAATGTCGTATTTCTTGCATTGGAGGGCGCAATTTGTTGCTTCTTGCTCACTCTTAAACGACCATAATCTGGCGAACTATAAAACGTCATCCCAAAGACGACAGCCACAGCTAAGTTTGTATTCAATGCACTTTATCTTTCGATTTAGACTTTCTCTTTTGCTCAAAAAAACCTGCAAGTAGCTTTTATTGCCTCAAAATGGGCTAATTTTGAGATGGTAGTTTTTCCAATCGCTTGCGGCAGTGTTGTTGTTTTATAAACTTATTGCAATCATATAATTCGAAAAAAAAATTTAAATTGCATTAAATTTTTATTTTAAAAGCAAGTTTTACTTTTTGCGCTGGAGGATACCAACTGTTATCTCCTTGCTCACTCTTAAACGCCCTCATTCTGGCAATTTATCAAAGATCATCCCACGAACGACAGCCACTACCGAGTTTTTATTCAATGCATCATCTTTAGGTTCTGATTTTCAATTCTTCTCAATCATTCTCAACTTTCCAAAAACTCTTCACTTGTATCAAGAAATTTGCAACAGATGTCCCGATTGCGGTTTTCATTAAACTTTTGTTATGTTTTACAAACTATAAAACATCTTTCCACAGACGACGTAACAGATTTCCCGATTGGGGTCATATGGACGAAGTTTTTCAACAAATCACTTGCCACATCTTTCTACAAAATGCAAATATATATTCTTTATATAAATTCAATGGATTTTTATTCTACGTATTTGTTGCACGCGTGTTCATTTCTTATTGCATTGTTTCTTTCAATATATTTCAATTCAAACAATTGAACCTCATCGTGGATTCAGAAAAAAGGTTCTCTGTACTTTTGACTGTCACCGGAATCATCTTCTGTCTCAACGTTCCTCATGAACACAGCACATTTCTATTAAGTTGAGCGAAAAGTCTTTGTAATTTTTTTTGGACCGTCATATCTCAGCTTTGATTTATCTTTTTATCATTCTGTTTTTTTCTATTTTGTAGTACGAGTTGTGCATGCTTAAAAGATTTCTTAAAGTTACCGACGGCGATTATAAAGACCGAGAATTCGCCCAGAGACCACCATGCTCTCAGGGATGCTTTTTTGTTCGGGTTTCTCCAAGGTCACAAATGCAGCGTAGCTTGTCGTAAAATGTGTACAGTGTTAGGCCAGAACTATATGTCCTACACTACAATAAAGTTTTGGTTCAAAAGATTCTCCGAAGAGAACTACGATCTCGAAGGTCTGGCCTACCACGTGTTGATCTCAATGAGGATACCTCTAGAGCTCTAGAAGAAGAACCAAGAGCAACGTTACGCGAGCTTGCATCAAGTCTCAACCATCCTCACAGAACCATAATTGATCATCTTCACGAATCTGGAAGGGTACCAAAGTTTGGTCAACTCGCCCCTCCCCTTTTGGCGGATTCACTAAAACCATTGCGTTGCATTCTCGGCTTACTATGAAACGTAGCATCAATTGGGTTGAGAATATTATCACTGGGGACGAGTAGAAAAAGACAAAGGGTCCCGGCCGAGGAAACCGCTAAAACGGGCATCAAAGGAGAACTTCACGTGAAAAAGTTATATTTTCCATTTGGTGGGACAGTGAAGACGTCTTCTCTAGAAGAATTCTTCTAGGCGGCGTCATTATCAATGAGGACCTCAACAGCACTCAAATGGAAACAGCATTCCAGGCTTATCGATTAAATTGCCCGAAAAATTCCAGCTTGTTGATGATTCATGACAACGCAAGACGACCCACTACTTTGAAGACCCGCCAGAAGCTCCAGATGCTCGGAGTCAAGATCTTCTGTCATCCACCGTATTCACCAGACCTGACCCTAACTGAATAGCAAATAATCCGTTCCTTGAAAAATCTCCTTGTTAGGCAAAAGTTCCATGATAGAAAGGATGTAAAACAGTGGTTGGATGACGTTTTCGTTTCCCAGTCTACCGAGTTCTACGCTAATGGAACCGCTCCACTTCCATCGCGTTGGCAAGTAGTCATGTACACCAGGCTTGGTCGGAATCGGAAAATCGAGTTCTCGATTTTTCCGATTTTCCGATTTTTTTCGGAAAATTTTTCCGTCGGAAAATTTTTTCTCGAAATAATCATGCTGCGTTCAAAGTGAAGAGGAAATCTCTACTTTGTATAGTTGAAACGGGTGCAACAGTAACCCAAGCACGGCGAGACCCGCAATCGGTGTCGATTTAATGGGTCGATTTAAGGTGAATTTTTTTAAAATTAATTTTTTTTTGAATGAAAACATACTTTAATCAGGGTTTTCATTACTTTTTCAACATTTTTTTTCGGTTTATTCTGTTCTTAATAGACTTCTTTTATTTTTCAGTGATTTTTTACCTTCTCTCACTGAAAACACTTGGTTTTTTTCAGACTTTAGGTCATCAAAAGTTTTTCTTAAAATTGTTGGTTTTGCAGTGAGTAACTTTGTCTGAATTTAATTTTTTTAAAGGAAATTACTGAACGCAGAAAATTTTTCCAAACTTCTTTTTTTGCAACAGAATGTAAAATTGATGGGATTTCATCAACAAAATTCAAAAAATAATTAATACTTTTGTTACTTTTTGTTACTTGTGCTTGTTCATCTATTGTTTTCCATTTCATTTTTGTGCTTTTTGTTGTTTTTGTTGTTTTTGTCAAATAAACTGGTAATTTTTGACTAATTGAAACTCGAGAAAATTCGAGAACTCGATTTTCCAAAAAAAAAGTCGAGAAAAAATTCGAGAACTCGATTTTCCGAAAAAAGAGTCGAGAAAAAAATCGAGAACACGATTTTCCGAATTTGTTTTTCCGAACAAGCCTGATGTACACTTTTGGTAAATATACCACACATTGAATTCCGTGTTCTTTGATAAATTTTGTACCGAAAAAAATTCAAAAAATTACAAAGACTTTTCGCTCAACCTAATATGACTCACCCCATCTTCCTCCTCAATAGCACTTTTTTTATCCATTCGATAAAAACTTTCATTGTTTCTTGCTCAGGCCATAGGAAACGGTCGTCTCATTTTTAGAGTATCCTATTTTTTCAACGACCTTTATTCTTTGTAGGGTTCTCAATTTTTTCAAAGTCCCCTACTGCATTTAGGATTCCCTATTAATTCATAAAGTTCTTTTAAATTTTTTTGGACCCCAGAAATGGGATAAAGCTAATAACACATATTCCAATAGATAAGTTACATTTAAGTATTTGTCTATTGATATGATCACAATTAATATTTGACTCTTTCTCACTACTTGCGCGGTTTTTCTCTCTTTCGTTTTTTTCGGTTTTTCTCTCTTTTGTTTTTTTTCGGTTTTTTTCTCTTGCTTTTCTTGCCGCTCTTGTACTCTCGAATATTTATTTTTAATATATTCAGGTAATTATGACTTTCTACAACTGCCCGTTTGATCATCTTTTGATCTTGGACTTTGAAACAACTTCCGACGGAGAAAAGCACGACTATCCATTCGAAGTTATTCAATTCAGTGTTGTCCCACTTGATGTGAAGGCAAAAACCATTTTGATTTATTTTTAACTCTCGAATTTTATTTTGAAATTTTAGCTCGAAGGAATTGCGTTCAACAAATTTGTTCGACCGGTAGTCAATCCAATTCTTTCAAACTATTGCGCTGATTTTACTGGTATTTTTTTAAATTTAGAAATTTCCTTTTGCTGACGTTTTTGCAGGCATCAAGCAAGAGTTTCTCAATGCTGCTGACACATTTCTTGTGGTCTACAAGCAGTTTTTGGAGTGGCTTCAGAAAAATGGATTCCAAGAGAGAAAGTTGGCGATTGTCTGTGACAGTAGTCAGGATATGTGGAGAATTGCTCAGTACCAATTTCGTTTGGTGCGCGAAACTATGCCATCAATGTTCCGTCAGTGGATAAATATCAAAAGGACTTTCGATGACGGTCTCGAAGATGGGCAGAAAAACAAACTTGTCGGAAAGGTTGGAATTCGAAAAACAGTCTCGAACAGAAAATGTATTCTTCCAGAGTAACATTGAAAAAATGTCCAGTTATCTGGGAATTGAACTCTCTGGAAAAGCTCATGACGCGTTGTCGGACTGTCTCAATATTGCAGCCATCACACAGAAAATTCTCGAAATTGGTTGCCCAGTGACGATCAACGAGATGCTTTGCTGTTCAGCAATTGTAAGTTCTTAACTCGTAATAAATATAACAAATAGGGAAATTCTGAATTTTAATTTTTAAAATAATTATGTTTTCTAACTAATTGCAAGTCGAATTTACAGTAGTTTTTTGAAGTGTGATTCGTCCATTCTCAATTTTGCACATGAAACTACGATGTTATATTTTTATTTATTGAATAACACTCGTGGCTCATTGAAAGTGTTTCGCACAACTTTGCAAGTTTTAGAACACTCACAAAACTGTGCGATACAACTTTTCAGTGTTTGTAACAAGAGAATACGGTTACAATAACAAAACAGACATGAATGGAAAAATTTTAAAAGTATTATGAATAAAATAAGTGACTATTACTCTTCAGAATTATCAATTAAAATGCGAATCAAAAAATGAGGCATGCATAAAAAAGCAAATAACTGTCATAGTCGAACTCATGTATCTGAAAAACTTTAAACCTCTTTCTGTACAACTCTTACTGGTAGTCGCCGAAATTTTGAAAAACTGAGTCCTGAAAAAACCAATTTTCGCAATTTTTGTGTGCTTTAGCCTAAACCAGTAACCTGCCGTATCCTTTTCGCAAGAATGAGTCAATAAAACCTGACACGTTCTGGATAAAATACGAATAGTTACGGAAGTCAGTTCTTCAAAAAGTTTTTTAGCCAAGTTTTTTCTAACAATTAATAAAAATGTAATATGTGTCTATGGGCCAAATCAAGAATGGGCATATTTTCTTGTTTTCCTTGAAACAAAAAAATTGCCTTCGAAACCACTACAAGTTATCAGATATCTGGGCTGAAATATGATATTCACATTTCAATATGTTAAATTTTTCCCCATTATTAAAAATTTTTTTAAATCACTTGATTTTCAGTGGCGCAATAAGCCTATATAAACATGACACTCTACGCCAACTGGAGAACGGATTTCCAAGAGGCTTACAATATTTACCATCTTGTCCTACCGTTGTCAATCAAAGCAGTTCGAAACTATACCGCCAGTATGTACGGTGCCTGCCCGTTCTGCAAGAAGCCACCAACCGTTTGCGGAGTTGTTCACAAGCAACCGCCAAGAGCGTTCTACGCCAGCCTCACCGAACTGTGTGTTTTTGCCAAAAGTGCTGGATATTATTGAATTTATTGTTTCGAGTTGATATTACTTTTTTGGTATTTCTCAATAAATTTTTCTTATTCATCTGCAAATTTTCATGGGGCAATTGGAAGGATTTTTGACAGTTAAAAAAATACATTGGAACCCTTGGCATTGAAAAAACAAAATATCTCTTTGTTCAGTCTAATTAAATCTCTCGGGGCAAAATATTTGAGGTGACGCGTGGCTAGCGACTACAAAATTGACCAACAACTGAAGCATACGAAATATTACGTTAATTAGATCTCTAAATAACCCAACAACTTTTCTGTATTCTAGAAAAAGCGAAACCGCAAAAAGTTTTTAACGGTTTGTAGGTTCGGCCCGAAGACGAACAAAACCTGAATCATATTTTCCGGAGGTCTTATACTTTTGTTTACATGTCCACCTTTTGATGTCTAACATTTCCTCTCCTCAATCCAATATTTTCAAGCCGGTCAAACGTAGTTTACTTTCTTTAATGTTGATGAAACCAAAAAGTATAAAAATAGAAGTGCCAAATTCCGCTCAAAAAGCGTCAGCTCTATATTGTCTTTCATCCTGATATCCTCTTTCACTTCCAGTGCCAGTCTGTGTCTTTTTATATATTTCTTCTAACGTCTTCTCCTTCTTTATTTTTGAATTGTCTGGCTCTTTCAATGTTCACTGTGCATCAAGTTGCTGAAGATAAGCCGATTTGAAGGCGGCGGTTTTTGATTGATTGATGATAAGCATTTGGAAGGAAATTTTGAAACTTTTTTCCTCTCTGTCTTTGCACTTCTGTTGACCCGATACGTGTTTGAACAAGTCATTTAGCGAGCCCAAGCGGATATCTTTGTTTATGTTGGCCCATTCACCCCGGTGCAAGCGGAAAAAATTTAGCTGTTGATTTTTGGAAACTTTTCTTTGCCGAGCTGTCTGCACTTTGTAGAGTTGCAAGTAGTATCGGTGACGCAATTCCCGTTTGTATTTTGCTTTGAAAATATAGTTATATTTAGACTGACAATCTTTCTCAGTCTGACTTTTTCATCTTTTTGACTTCCCATCCGGTACCGGCCAATGAGATTGTATTTTTCATTTCGTTTTTATCCATTTCGACCATTTTTAGTAGCCGGAAATTCAGCTGTTAAGGTTCCAATAATTTTCAAAATTTCGGAAGTTGTGAAACAGATCTAGAGCGGTAACATCGCATTCACAAAATTTTTTAATAATTTCTGGTCGTTCAACTTTTTGCCGATATTTTAAATACACTCCAAAACTTGACAACCAAGCTCCAGACTATTAAAAATGGTCGAAATGGCCGAAAATGAATTGAAAAACACATTTTTGTATTTTTCATTAAACGGTACTGTATATCTTTGATTCTCAAACGGCTAGCTAGAAGTAATCCTAAAATTCAGAATTCTAATAAGCGTCAACGAGAGAAAATATCCAAAAGATACTCTAAGCAAAAAAAAAGAGAGAAACTCTCTCTCTCGTTCTTTCTTCTTTTTCAAATGACTGAACAACAACATGTTTTCATTCTCATTCTAATTGGTCGAATAGATTAATCAGCAACTTTCTTTCTCATCGTGGAGCAAGAAAAAAAACACACTTTTTTCTGTGTGAGCTTTGAGCATCGAGTTTCGAGTTACAAGTTGGTTTCTGTGCATCTTGTCACAAACTTTTACATTATTTTCTCCCTCCATCGGCGGCCAAGATTTCTCGTTAATTCCAGCGATGTTATGCTTACCCTCCCGTCATTTTTCAGAAAAGAAATATTCCACGAACCCATATTCTGATGAATGTTGATCGGGTCTAGAGAGAGTGATGCCAATTTCTTCTGGGAAACGTGACAGTTGAACGTGATAATTACCATTCTAAATGAAACGATTGGTTCTGCCAGCGTATAAACTTTATTCTTGTTGTCCTCTCTATTCAATTCAATTAAAAAAGAAGTTCTTTAGTTCATGAGCCAACACCCGGAAAAAGAAGAAAGAAGAAAAGAAAAGAAGTCCAGTATAATACAACAATTTCCCACCGGTTTCCACTTTCATCGTCTGGCATCTTAAAAAAACTTCAACTCCATCTTGAGAGGATGCTTTTTGACCACCAATTTTTTTTCTTTCTTCTCTGGTTTTTTTTGTTTTTGCTACTGCCCACCCACGGCACCTTTGCCTACCCTCATGAGGAAGAAATCATTCCTTGAATCATTCATTTAGACATCCCGTGCCTTGTTTAATTTTCTAAATGTGTCTAACCCTCGTCTTTCAATCCCAAGAAGCGTCCATTGTGATCAAAACAGACAGAGTAGCTTTTTTGATGAATTATGAATTGTCGTATATTGACAGAGTGCAATCCGAGCATTTTTCTGGTACCCTAGACCAGTCGCCAGTATGGGGAAAAAATTGTTGGGGTTTCCTTTCTTGATCTCTTATTCTATAGACATATAATAACCTACTATTCATACTCAGTTAATGTAACGCTGATACCATGAACATTTGAACTGAAAAAACCTCAATTCCTGGTATAGAAAAACGTAACCAAAAAGAAGAGCATAGATCAAGAAAAGTTTTTGAAGAAGGTTTAAACTTTTTAATTTGTTAATTCTCTCAATTCTTCCTTCTGGACACATGTTTCCTCATCTTTTTATCTCTAAAGTCGAAGATCAATAAGTTGCAGAATAAAAAGAAGATATATGAACAGCGAGACATTTTATAAAGTGATGAGAGAAAAGTGTTTTTCTTGTTTTCCATTTCATCCGAGAAGTTCCAATTTGTTTCTTTTATTTGTTTGAAATTTGGATCATAAAAATTAGAAGGTTCTAGATTGTCACATGAGTTTTCTGAATACAGTGTTAATTTTCAGGTAATGTGAGACAAAAACATGCATCCTTATTTGCCCGACATATAATCGTACTACAAAACAAGGTTTTTGGAATTTTCAGGATCTTGTGATTTATTTTTTTTCTGTGAATAGCTTAATTTGAATAGTTAAATTTAGCACATTTCTTAACAAACTTTTGCATATTTCCGGTGGCTGGTTTTTGAAAAAAATCGTTTACTTTTTTAAAAAATATTTTATTTGTATTGTGAAAATTATAAAATATTAGCCAAAATTATTTTTTGGTCCCAAATAATTTAAAAAAAACTCTAAGCATTTTTTTCGATTTTAGTGAACGTTTATTGAAGGTTTTTTTGTTTAAAATCAGAAAAAAAAATTAGCTGTTCCAGGAAACATTGAAAGTTTTTTCCAGTGATTTGTTGGAAAATTAGGCTCTTTTTGACAATGGGAGGGGAGGAGGGCATAAAAATAGGGCGGCCCAAGTGAAATTTGGGAAGGGCGTCAAGTGGAAAAATTATGCTTCAGTTAAAATTTGCCAATTTTTTCTTGTTTTGCGGATGTCTTCATCAAAATTTCAAACTTCGAACATTTTTTCATCGCTTTTTCAAATTTTCAGTTTATGTCATTTTTTGTTCATTATTTTTGTTACTAAGCCTCAAGTTAATCTAATTGTAGCTGAATACATTTAAATTCCACGGTTACAATCGGAGAACTAGTGTTTTTCATGGAAAAAACTGACCTAAACTGATATTTTTGCAAGTGATGAGTTTTTGTGGAAACAGAATTCGGTTAATCTTAACTTAGTCCACATTTTTCCACTTGAAAAGGCCCCCCCCCCTTTGTGATAAAAAGCCAAAAATTAGTATTTGACTGTAAATTCTGAAAATTTATACTTAGAAATCTAGCCTAAGTCAGTTTTCCAATCCCAACTCTTTAAACCATTCAGCCTGTATGTCACGCCTCTTTTTTAAAAACCTAAATCGTAAAAAAACCAAAAAATAAATATTTTTTCAAGTCCCCTCCGAAAAGTTGATATCGACGAAAAAAAATTTTTATCAGATTCAGTATCCAGACTCAAAATTTCCTTCAAGATCTAACGAAATCCGTCCGAACTCAATGCTAAAAACTTTGTTGTTTACTGAAAAAAAACAAAAACTTTCTTGATTCTAACAATTTACCAAGAACTTGTAACCCATTATTAAAACTTTACTATTTGGTTTTTTGATCGAAATTGGGTCTGAACGCTCTACTAAATTACTTGTGCGAAAGTTTGAACCTTTTTTTCTTCTTTGTTTCAGCGTTCTTTTTACATGAAAATAATTTTCGAACCCCTGTCACCACAAATAATCCATTTACAAAGTCCATTTCTGATACTTAGACCTCCACTTACTTAAAAACGCTTCTGCCTTGGTTTTCTCTGTTTCCTCATCTCTCACCACTTGGAAATAAACGTTTTTCTCTTACTTTAAAAGTGCCTTTACCCTAAACGAAAAAATCGGCGAAGAAGGCAAAAATCCTTCTCAAGATGAGCCGCGTGGTTCTGAATTATTCCCAAACAGCGAAAGGGGAAGAGCTACACTATCTAATCTGCTGCCAACCGTGTCAGCACTCACACATGAGACACTTCTTTGTGCTCTGCTACACCCCGAAAACCTCTTACTTCTGTCGCGCTTCTGAATTCCAAATTAGGAGGTTTTTTTCTGGTGTGTGTGCCGGTTCTTTTGCTTTTTCTGATTTCACGCTATACTTGGTTTAACTCAAATCGTAACTCATGACTTGAAATTTCTCAAGCGGTTTTTATGGTTTGGTCACTCATAAATCCCGAATATGATTTCTTCTATTGTTTTCCACTTGTGCCATTGCCTGCAGGTGCAATCAGAATAAAAAACGCGTAATTCTTAAATAAACAAACAGTTTGAATTGTTTATGCTGGAACAAAACGCCTGATTGCCGGATGTTTGAAGAATTCTCACTTCCTTTCCTACGTTCTTGTTCTTCTCAGAAAGAAGTTTTTCTACAATTATTTGTGTTTTAATTTGCTGCTCTGGTCTTAAATTGCTACACAGAAATATTTTCCTGGTCCACTAACTAGAAGATCAAGTTTCCTTAAAGGTTTTTTTTTCACACCAAGTTGCGTCAACGGTTTTTATTCCTGGTATGGCTATTTTTCTACATGGGAAACTTTCTGCGAATAATAGGAATAAGTTATCTTGTGTCTGAATCAGTAAGGCGTGAGAATTTCATAAAGGATCAAAGCAGGGATCAAAATCCTACATTTTCTAGAACTAACAAAGGAACCCTCGCCTAGTTTTTTTTTGAAAATCTGAGGATATGTAAAGGGTAGCCTATTTAGACTCTTTCAAAATTTTTGAAATCCGCTCAGCCAAGCTATATCAGTTTTAGTACCAAAATCGCGTTCCCACTGCAAACCAACAATTTTCAAAGACCATTTTCTTAACTCTTTGGAAGTTCTCAAACATTGAAACTATTGTGAACATAATGAAATGTACATCAAACGTTTCCTCAAAATATTTTTTTCACATTTTCTAAATTTCCGCTTTCGATTTATTCGAGATGTGAAAAAATATCGATTTCCCTTGTAAAAGTCCCACTTTTTCTATTTTTGTTCTCTCTTTTATTTATTTTTGCATACCAATTCTTTCTGCATCATTAATTTCAAGACCATTAGTCTTTACTCTTAAAATTCCAAAAACTCAGTCTTACTCACGGTTCAAACAATCAACGAGCGCTATTTCGGACCAATTTGCATTTTGAGTGTCCAGACTGCAGCCAATTCAAAAATGTCTCTTTTTCTAAAAATGCTTAACAGAAAAAAAGTGACGGACCAGACACAATTTGCAGACACTTTTCAATTGTGTGTGGGGACATCCTTTATGGAAAAAATTGTGTATTCGACTTTTTCAGGGTGGTGGGCAGATCAGAACATAGTCGATTGTGCTCGTTGATCTTTTGCACTCTACTATCATTTCTTATCAGTTTCGCCCAATTTGAATTGAAATTCAATGAAACAAAACTAAACTGGCCACCTACTTCACGTTTTTTTTGTTCAATTTTTTCCAACTTAATTTTTCTCAGTTTATTTTTAAAGTTACCAAAGACGTGAATAAACCAATTTTGTCACATTTCTTTTTTTTTCTCCCCCACCATCATCTTTTTCTTTTCTCATAGCAAGAAAAATAGGAGATGGGGGTCTTGCAGAGCAAATTGTGAAACTTTGTTAAGGCTAACATCCTCAAAACTCGTTTTTTCTTCTTCTAAACTTCTCGCATCATTATTTTCATCAGCATCAACGTCTACCTTCCTTTTTCTTCTTTTCAACCCATTTTTGATTTTTGCAGCCTCTTCCCTCGGACACCCACTCGTTTTTCTATTCATTTATTCCTGACTGACTCCCAAAAAACTCCAAAAAAGGACCGCCACCCGGAAAAGTTTGCAGTAGGAATAACAGATGTTGCCCGAAAACAGCGGGATGAGGTAAGTCAAATTTTTCCAGATAATTGTTGTTTGTGGTTTTTCAAGAATTACTAGAATAACACAAACCTGAAATTACGAGGGTTACGCAAAAAAGAGAATTTTCTAACCATTGGAACACTAATTTCAAAGTTAAAATGTTGTCATTTTGTTATTTACAAAATTTCACTCCAAGGTTTTTACTCTTTCATTCACATTTGGATCTTCAATGCTCAAATTTCAAACTTGAAATATTACGTATCCCAAAACACATTTTTTTCAACTTTTTTCTCAAACTTCTGCTTGAGTGTCCTTTAATGATTATCTGCTTGATCGGCTTTAAATAATTTTTCAGTGTGTTTTATAACCAAATAATACATGTCAACTTCAGCTAGAAACTGAAAAGCTGAAAGTTTTCTCTTCTCTCTTGTTTTTCGAGCGCCTACGCAATAACGAAGCTACTTAATTGAGCATCTGACACTGACCTCTCTATCATTGTTTTGTTGTATTCTTTGCTAGTCTTTTGATTGGCTAGATTTCTTCGACTCTGCTAGTTGTTTCAAAATGACAACTTCTTGCTAACGTCATTTACTACTGTAACGGTGGATTATTCATATTATTTGGTGAGATTTTCCGAAAATAACTGATTCTATTGTAGTTTTAGTCTTTGTATATAGTGGTCAGAAATCGTGAAAAATACAAAACCCATGGTCTGCCAATGAATCAGAAGACAATTAAAAAGACGACGTACGAGCCGGGATTCTTTTTGTTCTTTTTTCAAAAATCGAGTTTTCAAAAATTTTTGTAAACCTCTTTCTCCTAAACCACTTCTTATTTTCCCAGTCTACCAAAAGGAACGTTCTTGGCATAAGTTCCAGAAAACTGCTAATCTGTTGCTTCTTGATAATGGATTTACTAACCACTTCTTATTTTCCCAGTCTACCAAAAGGAACGTTCTTGGCATAAGTGCCAGAAAACTGCTAATCTGTTGCTTCTTGATAATGGATTTTCTAATTTCCAGATTCTCACGTCCACAGGAGAAGGTTTTTTGAGGCTATTGAAAAATTATATGGTTTCTTCCTCTTTAGATCTAATTTTATAAAAATGCATCCGTTTCAAATAATTGCCTGCAATCTAGCGTACAATATAGAAGTTCTTTCACATACAATTCTCCCTCTCTTATTTATTTCTCACATCATAAAACCATGCGACCCTTCCCAAAAATTGATTCCAAAGAACTTGGCCTCCATGCTTTTTCTCTTCATGATATTATGGCCCTGCTTCTTCTTCTCAATGACGTCTTCAGCGAGTCATTTGAATTGATTTTTTTTTCCTTTTCGTGAAAAACCCAAATTTCCTTTTGGTCAGTTTTTTCTTGCCCAGGGTTTCTAATTCGGAGTGTTTGTCTAGAAATGATGCGAGATGCCCTAGGAAAAACTTTTGGGGGCTATTATGGCCCGTTTCGTTGCAAAAACGACGACCTCGGCTTCTCTACAACCACCAAAATTTGATTTCCAAGGACATCTCTTTTTCAGTAGTTTTGGGATTCTGGTACTTTTAGGCTTCTCTCTCTCCGATCACGTAAACAAAATCGCTTTGCTCTTTTTCTCCCAGTTGCTCTGATTCTTATTATGTTTAATTTTTTGTCGAAGTCACATGAGCGTTTGGCAGGATTCTAAAATCTCTGATAACTACCCCTGAACAATCTCTAATTCTCAATCATTCCTTACTAGAAAAACAAAAAATTCCAGCTATGAAAGGTACTAGGTACCGCCCTTCTTTCCGGTACTCCATATGGACTCCTCTTGGCGGGTCAATCAACAACAAAGACTGCAGCTGAGTTCGGACTCTTCATTTCTCACATTTCAACTCTTTCTTCTCATCTTTTCACTTATTTTGGGACCATTTCTTTTGTTTTCAAGTGAAAATCAAGTGTTTGCCTTTCATCGCATCATCCTTCATCTATCCTTATGTGTTCCAAGAACGGGTGGTCAGATTTTTCCCATTTTCTCAAATTAAGAAAAAATTCCAAGATATTGTTTCGTTTTTCTGTCTAGAATTCCGAGAATCCTTTTGTTTCAAATACCCAAATTCCAATTAACTTTTGTTTCGTGCGTTTCCTGGAAGCACTATCGAAAAGAAACATAAATCTCGCCAACGACGACGACACACCGCAGTAAGCTCCGCCCTCTCCTGCTCGAACGCACTTTTGTCTTCGCATTCTGCTCATGTTCCCTTTCTCTTCTTCGCCTTCCGCCTCATAACGTCTTCATTCATTTCAGAAGCGTCAAACTAGGTGTCAATGTTTGTGATTTTACTTCGTAAGATCATTAACAGCAAGAACAAGTACAAAATATTCATCAGTTTATTTGTTCTGTTTCTCACTATCGTCTATAACGCAGGACTCGTACATTTCTTGTAAGTGAGAAAAACGTGTTAGATGGTGGAAGAAAGAATAAATCTTTTTTGAGAATTTCAATTCAATTAGTTTGATTGATGTCAATGTAAAATTATGATAAACACTGTAATATGGGGAGTCCCTATTTATAAACTTTAGGGCAGTTTACCTCGGTTCCTGTTAAAGATATGGGAACGTTGTCAACAGACAAAAGGTTTATCATAATATCACACATTTTATCAGTCGACGCATGTTTCATATATTTTCACGGTAATTGAGATCAGTGAGCTCAAACGCGACGATAGAACCTTTCTAGTGTAGACGTCACGGTAACACTTTTTAAAAAATCTGTTGATCCTAAAAATCTATAATCTTCAGATATTTAAAATTTTCCGTGCTATATAGATTAAAGATAAATAATTATGAACAGTTTATTTCCGCAAATAAACAACGTGAATCATCATTCGATCTCTCATTACCGTACATGCTAAAATAGAACGCCACCCGGAATTTACGGCGCTGTCATTTTGGCTGTTTTAGTATTTCTGAATATCAGTCACAAATGTATTTCATGTAAATGTTACTACAATGTGCTCCTATTTTCAAAATGTCCTATGTTTTGCAAAGTTTCAACTCGTCCCTCAAAAAAACTGACCGTTTTTTCAAAAATCCTAATTTCAAGCAGTAGCCCTTCTTTAAAAACTTCACTCAATATTTCCCGAATGAACATAATTTGTCTCGCCCTCCCTTCTTCAACAGAAAATTCCAATTTCTATGGCAAACGTCAAATCAGAAAAAGTCTGTGTGTCCCTCGGGTAGTTTTCGTTTGTAAAAAATTGCCGCCCTTTTTCCTGACTAAACAGTTTTCTTTAAAAATGTGTCGGAAGTCCGTTTCACCCCCAACAAGCGGTAGATTCACATACGAAAACTGAAAGATTCGATCTGTCACCAAAATTCTGAAAAATTCCAAAAACAGCTTCTCAGTTTTCCCGTTGGCTCGTTCGTCATTCCACTCTCAGAGAGCGCTTTGAAAAATGAAGCGGGTCCTGAAGATTTAAGAGGACTAGGGAGCAGGAGTGAACTCTGAGATTTAAAACAATTCGTTTCGTTGGTTCCACGGAAAATCCTTGATCAACAGTTTCACCTCATAACAACAGGTGGAAAAGAGACATTTGACATCCGGGTGCATATTACAAAACCTAATAAACACAATAAAATCATTAAACATCAATAATAAAATCTTAAACTCCACAATTTCAGTTTCCGTACTACCTCAGTGGATGATTCTGCCGAAATGAATCATGTGGACTATGTTGCGCACGTCATTGTCATGCCCATCGTATTATCCATAGGTAAGAAACTCGGTGAAAAAAAAAACGTTCTTACACACTTCAATGCTTCAGGAATGATTAATCAGTGCTTGAATGTTTGTACATTGCTCCATATCAAAACCAGCATCTTTTTGTACTTGAAAGCATCTGCAATTGCTGATATTTTGAGCATTGTGGCTTTTATTCCATTCCTCCTAAGACACGCCAAACTGATCGACCCAACCTGGGAGTTAGGAATGTTCTATCATGCTCATTTGGAACTACCTCTCATTAATGCCCTCATATCTGCCAGGTAAACTCGTAAAACTTTTATTTTTTTTTCGAACAGGACCTTTTCAGCGCTCTCAACATTGTTGCCATGACTGTAGACAGATATGTGTCCGTGTGCCACCCTATTAAATTCTTTCAAAACAATGAGACAAAACCATCTCGTCGGCGCACAATGCTAATCATTGTAATGATCTATTTTATCGCTCTTCTCATCTACTTTCCATCGGTTTTTCAAAAGAAACTTGGTGTTGTAACCAACGCTCTGACCAATGTGTAAGTAGAAATATTAGATGCCAGCTGTCATGAAAATCTGATTTTCAGAACCGTTTATACAATTGTCAGGAATGAAGATGTCGAGGCTTTACGGATTTTCCAATTCTACTTGATCGTTCGAGAGGTAAGCACTTTTATTAGAGGTAACGAAAAACTAAACATCTCTGCTTTAGGTCATTTGCCGATGGGGTCCAGTTTTTCTGCTAGTGGTACTCAACATGTGTGTGGTCCGTGGTCTTCGAAAAATCGACAAACGCAACTGGTTCTGGAGACAGCCATCTACAAACAGTCGTACGGAGACTACAGCTCAACGTCAGCTCCGATCGCCGAGAGATGATCGTAGCAGAATCTCAGTTCTCCTATTCGTGACATCAGCAACCTTCATAATTTGCAATGTTCCTGCTTCCGTGATCTCTTTCTTTGTCGGGTAAGGTTAGCTGAGCCTAGAGCGTGTAATGATAAATCAAATCTTTCAGACGAGTCAGCGGATCCATTTTCTGGCAAATCTTCCGCGCTATCGCAAACCTTCTTCAGGTTACCAGGTTCGTTCATGTCTCCATATTTTCTTCCCAAGTTCCTCCACGAATCTTTCTTCCTAAATGTTTTCTCCCTAAATTTCTCCCCGAATCTTCCCAAATTTTCGTTCCAAATCTTGCTTTCAGCTATCTCTACAACTTTTATCTTTACGCTCTGTGTTCTTCTGAATATCGCCACGCTTTCCTTCGACTCTTCGGCTGCCGACCAAGCCAATCTCCAATTTCGACCGGCGATTCTCCAACTGTCCGAGTGTCGGTCCATGGGAAACGTTGCCAGTAAGATATTCCATAAATCTAGACTTCCAAAAATCTTATTAATTTTCCAGAGCTGTCGTCTTGCTGGAAAATGAGCAAAATGGGTATCCAGTCAACGAAGTGTAGTTTCCAATAATTCCAATAATCCATTTCTAGTCAATTTCTATGCTTTCCAAATCGCTTTCCTTGTTTAGATCTCTGTCCCTGGAACGGTTTCTCTCTTTTTTGTGATCCTCAAATCTTCTTGTCATCCGAATAACATTCTTTTCTCTGTTTTCCAACTCACTTCTTAGGCGTTTTTCTATTACCGGTCTCAGTTCTTCCAATTGCCCATTTTTCTCCATTTTTCATCCTGTTTTTGTTGCTAATGTTCCCAGTGTTTGTTTTCCATCATTCCTTGTTCCATTCACATTCTTATAATGTTTGAAGACTGCATATCTTTCCTAGAAAACCACCAAATTTACCGATTTTTGATTTTCCTCATCACTGAGATCTCTAATAAAGTTATTTGGATTTCTAAACGACCTCTTTTTGTTGGGCCACTTGTATAATTTGAAAACGTGGATATTCTATCTTTTTTCTAGAGAAAAACGGGCGTTGAGAGTTTCTGAGAACTCAAAACAATTTTTTAATTCAAACTCAAGTTCAGATTCTTCAGTTTCGTTTTGAACTCGTCATTCCTTCTCGAAGAATCAATCTGAAAAAAATTCAAAAGAAATACTTACCATGTTTCTCATGTTTCTCCACTCTCCTATCCTTTTTCGGTCAAAAAAAAGGCGATTTATCCACTGAAAATCGGCCCATTGGGGCCCAAAACACACTCATCCACCCATCACGAGAGCGAAATAGTGGGCACATGTAAGAGAATACAGACAAAGGAGAGCACTTGGCACGCTGCCAGGCGGCACTTAGATGCGCAGGCGTTGTGACACACAGGAAAACAAGTGTTACCGTACCTATTGCCCACAGGGGGTATTTGTCTGTCGAATTTCCGATTCTCTCCTTTTCTTGTCAAATTTTGGGCCTTTCATTGAACAATTGCTTAATTTTTTTCAACATTTCGTTTGAGACACTTCAGAATTTCTCTCCCAAATTTACAGGAACTCTTTTCAGTTCATTTTCACGCTAGTTCAGCAAAAAAATCTGACTAGAGATTAGGCCAAAGCTTGAAAAATGTTTTGGTTCTAGTAAATTTTGTTTTGATTTGATAAAAACAATATTTCTTAAGGCATTCTAATAATTCTTGTCTTTTTTTACCTCTCTTCTCTTATTCTCACAACTGATTCTCAACTCAATCGCTCTTTTTTTCAGAACATGGGTGACATCGAGAAGCAGACGGAAATCCGCGAAAAGAAGGCCCGCAATGTGATGCGTGAGCTCAAGATCCAAAAGCTCTGCCTCAACATCTGCGTCGGAGAGTCTGGAGATAGACTTACCCGTGCCGCTAAGGTAAATATGAATTTTCAGCCATTTTCCAGGATTTTAGTCATCACGCTAGAACATTTTTTTTTTGCTCATTCTCCAATTTTCAGGTGCTTGAGCAGCTCACCGGACAGACTCCAGTGTTCTCCAAGGCTCGCTACACCGTCCGTACCTTCGGAATCCGCAGAAACGAAAAGATCGCCGTTCACTGCACCGTCCGCGGACCAAAGGCTGAGGAGATCCTCGAGAAGGGACTCAAGGTCAAGGAATACGAGCTCTACAAGGAGAACTTCTCCGACACTGGAAACTTCGGATTCGGAGTCCAGGTAATCAACTTTCAGCAAATTTAGGCCCCACACAATCTGTGATTTTATTTCAGGAGCACATTGACTTGGGAATCAAGTACGATCCATCCATCGGAATCTACGGAATGGACTTCTACGTCGTTCTCGACCGTGCTGGACGCCGTATCGCCAAGAGAAGACGTGCTCCAGGACGTGTCGGACCATCTCACAGAGTCGAGCGCGAGGAGTCGATCAAGTGGTTCCAACAGAAGTATGACGGAATCATTCTTCCACCAAAGCCAAAGGTCAAGCGTACCTTCCACCGCCGCCGCTAAGCACTTTGTTGAAATTTTTTGACATAAACTGTTATATGTTGTGCCGGATTATTGTTTTGTTCTGTTGTTGCTCACTCCTCTAATAAAAGAGAGAGGCGAATTTGGATTTTGGGGCAATGGCTTTCAGGTTCAGCTGTGATTTAGTCTTTTTAGGATGAGTTGGGATTGATGCTGGAACATTATGGTTCAAAGTGCCTGGAATTCTAGCCGAGGTTTCATCATGCATTTTGCTTCCTCTGCGTTTCGGTTTCTTGGTTAGGCTCTGGAAGAGTTAAGATTACAGAGGAGTTCGCTTCGTTTTTAACCGTTTTAGATGGTGGAATCCAGATTTTGTAAGTCTAATTCAGCAGCTACGCCGTCGAAAGTGGTGTAGAAAAAGTATTCAAAACTGATAAAAAGGATACTTGTGCGGTGATAGGCAAGGGCTCCGAGAAGCTCTTTTTAGTGCCGTTTCAGACAACAAAAGACAGGAGCGGGTAGAGCACAGCAACCGAAACAGCAAAAGAATTAATCCTAATTTCTAAGATTTCCAAACTTATCAACCGTAGCTGCTGAATTAATAATTTTATTTAAAGTTGAGGAGATGACTTTCATTGAAACGCTATTTACAAGGAATCAACGAGGCTGCGTTGCAACATTGTTATATTCCAGGCTAGTATCGCAAAAAAGTCCCGTTTTTTTTCGGGGAAAACAGGTTCTGGAGATGCTAGTGATCATGTTTCGGCCGTAAGACTCAAATTCGGTTTTTAGAAACCAGCTAGAAAATTATATCGTTTCATACAGCCATGGTTTTGAAGCGAGGCCTCGTAAATCGAAATAAGCCGAGATTTTCAAAATACTCCGTTTGATTTTTCTAGCTCACTTTAGTGCATTGTACTTTTCTCCCAGAACCAAAGTTTGATAATTTTTAGAATGAAAACTCAACGAATTTCGGTTTAACTTTGTGTTTTTCTCAATTCTTCAAGACTTCGACAATTGAAGGCTTGTATCGTTTTTTGTGCTGGCGAATGAGAGCAAAATTCCAGCGAAGCCTTTTTAGTGTATTGGTTTTTTTTTCGGTATTTGGTTCCTCAGATTAGACAATTTCTGACAATTCCCCATGTTGTGCTCGGAAAATAAATGAATGATCACGGTTCCAAATGATTACTATGTTTTTTGATGCGATTGTCCTTGTTAACTTGATTATAATAGTGCAAATCAGCCATTTTTCTCACCAAAAGTTCTTCGAAAAAGATGCAAACTCGCTCTATTGGACAAAGGCCCCGTAAATCGACATAAGACTTGGCTCTGAGAAAAATGAAGCTCAGATTATCAATGAAATTTTCACATTTTTAAAACTTTGCTCATAGCAATTAAAAAAAAACGAAAATCATTATTTTCGCAGAAATCGATTCCACGTTTTTCTTCTCATCGAAATAATAAAATATCACCAAATTATCTAAAGAATTCATCTTTTCAAATTCAGTATTGGGTTCGCTAAATCACGGGTGAGTAAGACATCACAGTTACATAAGTAGAATATCACATGAAACAATAATCGGGACGCATTTGTGATGACAAGAAAACACATTTTTTGTCAGAAAGGAAGCATAAAAAGTACAAAATAGGGCAAAGTCAGTGGGAATGTTGACGATGGATTGATGGGAATAAGTTGCGGAAGAAATTTCATAGAGATATTGAATCGGATTTACTTGGCGGCCACACCGTCTCCCTGAGCATCAGTGTCCAATTGTTTTCCGAGGTATTCCCAGTTGTGAACCATAAGCTTCTGGACTGCAAGCAGAGCATGGTAACGGACATTTGGGTCTTCAGCACTTAACAAACGCATAACAGCCGTCTTTCCTTGGTATTGCTCAATGACGCTGAAATTTTCTTGCTTTCTATGGTCTCTAGATTCCATCCGCTTACGTTTTTCCTCTTGGGTAGTGACGAACGTACTCTCCGATGTCATGAGCAGCCACACAGAGGATGGTAGGGTCCTTGCTGTTCTCGAGAAGCTTGATAAGGATCTTCACAACTTCGAATTGCTTCTCATTGAGCCGAGCAGCATTCTCGCGCCAGAATTTCTCGGATTTGTGGACTGGAGACCAGGTGAGACGACCAGTGCGGACCTGAGATACATTTGATAATGGTTTTTACATCGCCAACGGATCCTACCTCACTGTAGTATTCATCGTAGGAGCTCAAGTCGTGAACGGAGAGGGTCAGCTCTTCAGTAAGGAACTTCACATCATCCTCAAGATCTGGATCGTCAAACTTCTTGGATTCAATGAGCTCCAAGGTCTTGAGAGTCTTGCATTGGACCATTTGAAGAGCAGCTTGTCTCTTGATCTCGCTATCATCAATTTTGTTCAAGATGTTGGCGAAGGTTGCGAGAATGATTCTGATCACCTTTTCCTTGGTGGACTCGGAAAGGATGTCTCCCAAGACTTGAATGACTCCAAAGGATGGTGCTTTCTGAGCAATGCTGGCGTTGAATGTGAGGCACCAGAGAGCGAAGATGAGCTGGTATTGCAGCTGGAAGTTGGTGGATCCGGTGAGGGCGGTCACGATGGTTTGGACTCCATCAGCCTTGACAAACTCATGTCTGTATTTGTCCTCACGGAGCAAAGTTTGGATGTGGCGGACAGTCGCGTTCACAGCGTCGGTCCCCTGAAAGATTTCTCATTTTCTACGGGCTTTTCAAGAATATTTCAGATTTGAGAAAAAACTCACACTGTTCTTTTGGATCTGCTCCTTCAAAGTGGCGATCAGCTGATGAATATCCTCATGTGGTTTCTCGATGATGGAGCTCATCTGAAATGAAATTCTTGAATAAAAACGAGCCGGAGAGAGAAATAAAGCAAAATCCTGCAAGAAAACGTGATAATTGTCTATGTTGGGGAGCAAAATGAAAGTTATGGCCAAACAAAACACGTTCAAAACATTCTTACGTTGAAAAATCAGCGATTTTCGACAATTTAGAGCAGAAAAACACCGCGAAAGTCCTCAAAAACCTTCGGTTGGGGCGAGTGTCGACAGAGACCAAAAACCGATGGCAACAGTGAGAGACGGAGAATCAAAGATTGAACTGTCGAGAAATAGTGCGCCTATCGCAGAGGTTTTCGTGGCCGAGGCGCACTATGTATTTGAGTATTCTCGGCCATGAAACTGTTGGGGGGAAAGGATGCAATGAGCGACTGTGTGCTGGTTGAGGATAGGAACATCGATCGGTTGATTCTCTATGGTCTAGAGATCGGCTGTGTAGTGGTGCAGCAGTTGGTGGAGAACAGGGAGGCACATAATAGCGGGGATTTGGTGGTTCGTAAGAAAAATATGATGTCAGAGAACAGAGAAGAAGAACACTAAGAAGAGAAATTTTCATTCTTAATCGAAGTGTTTCCAGAGTAGACGTTGTTAAAAGATGGACGAAATAAATGATACGGAAAAACAAGCAATTTGGTGGACTGGAAGTCATCAAAGTGTGAATGAGAATGAGATTTTGAAAAAAAAACGACGGAAAATTGCAGATTTTTTCTATTTAAAGAAGTTCCTATGATGTCAGATCCGATTTCTTACCATGTCATAATTGTCATATCATGCAATCATAAAATCCTCTATATAATCCCACGAATACAAGTCAAAGATTATCTTTTTCCGAAAAAAATACTGTCTATCGTTATGTTCTGAAAAAAGGCTACTCACTCGAAACTGTTTTCTCATGACAACCGAGTTTTTCTTCTTACACAATACGTAAGATTCACAGTATTGATATTGAGATTTCACTCATCCGGATATCAAAGTCGTAAGCATACTTGAAATTCAACACATCAAATAGTGATGTTAAATCTATTTGTGAAATTTCAATTGAGTTATTTTACTACAATGCAAAAAAGCGAAAAAAATATTTACACAGACATCGTATTGATGATTACAGTAGGCATCGCAACTGGCCGGACGAGGCTATTTTTCAAATTTTTCTTCGCTCGGCCCGTATTTTCAGTAATTCTTTGGAGTATTTTCAGAAAATTTTTGCGAGCAATGAAAAGAACAAAAATATTCATTTCAGAAAGTTTGCAAAAACAGATTCTCTTGAAAAACCCCCTTTCTCACAATGAAATCTGACATGTTGATGAAATATTTGTATTTTTTTTAATTTCGAAAGACGGGCCCACCAGATAGTAATTTTTCCGGTATGGTAGCGATCATTACACGACGAGATATGAATTTTTCATTAATCACGAAAATAAGGACTTGTCCGTGTCACTCCAAAATCTCAAGCTTGTGAATATCATAGTGGTGACAATTTTTCCACATTACAATAAGCATTTTATCGGAATTTGTGAATTTATCGTAATCCGAAATTTTACAAAAATCTATAGAAATCGTTTGTTTTGTTTAAAGTTTTGTTGCATTCTGTCCGAAATCCGGTTTTTGAATAATTTTTCCCAGAAAAAAACTTCTGGAAAAACACAATGTTCAAAATAATGTTATTCTGATGAAAACCAGTTTAATTGCCGATAGTTTTGAAAAATCATCTAAAAATTCCAGAAAAAAGAAAGAATAATAAAAACCAGCTACATCGGTAAGGAATATTCTTCCGTTACGTTTCCGGTGATCTGAACCGTTCGATAAGTTTTACTTGTTGCTTGAGTGCTTCAAATTTTGGAATCTGTTATTGCACCATCAAGTTCATGAAGCTCAGTTCTCAATTGGCCAGTGTGTTCTAATGACTCAAAAATCATCAAAAGCATTTGACAGGATCCTGGTGAAAATGATTTACAAATGCACCATTGACTACTCAACAGAAAAAAGCGTATCAATGTTTCTTTGAATGTTTCTTTCTTGAGTTTTTAATAAAACTCAAATTTTTTTCTTGAATTTTCAGTTGATTTTTGAAACTTACTGCAGTACTTCGTGCTACGTGCTTCATTATAACAACATGTTGGTCAACACCGATATTAGAGTTATTTGAAATTTCTTTATATTTTTTGAAGATATTTTCAACTTGTTTTCTTCTGCTACCCCGAATCTCAATTGTCCTCACCTGAAAATGTTTTATCGACATCAGTTGGAAAACTGGTGGTCAAAAATAGTGTTCCCTCCCAAATGCTAGGAAAAATCACTTTATATAGAGCAGAAATTATGAAATTGCAAAGAAGTGAGAACGATGAAAGAAAGAAAAAATTCATCACTAGAAGAATTAGTGGCAAATTGCAAAGTGAATTATAAAAATAATAGAAAAACGCTAGTTGGGGTGAGACTAGGCTATAAATATCACTAGAAACAATGAAGTGAGGCTGAGGTGGCGCGAATTAAAGGAATGTTAGTGTGCTAGAAAAACGTACAAAATGGAACGGCGTCACTCAAAGGTGACATTTTTGTTTCAGTTTCAGTATCAATACACAAAATTATACACAAATGACGGAGCAGAATCTGGGGAGAGTTACTTGGCGGCTACACCGTCTCCTTGAGCATCACTGTCTAATTGTTTTCCGAGATACTCCCAATTGTGAACCATAAGTTTCTGCACGGCAAGAAGGGCATGGTAGCGGACATTTGGATCCTCAGCTGTCAGCAATCGCATCACTGCAGCCTTTCCTTGTTGCTGCTCGACAACTCTGAAAAATGATCTAGATTCACTTACACCACACTATAATCTAATTCTTACGTTTTTCCTCTTGGGTAATGACGAACATACTCTCCAATATCGTGTGATGCCACGCAAAGAATCAGTGGGTCTGAGCTTGATTCGAGAAGTTTGATGAGAATCTTGACCACTTCATACTGCTTGTCATTGAATTTGGCAGCGTTCTCACGCCAGAACTTTTCGGATTTATGAACTGGAGACCATGTGAGACGGCCGGAGCGGACCTGAAAGTTTGATACTATTCTCTGCACACATGAAATAAAACTCACTTCACTGTAATATTCATCGTAGGAGCTCAAGTCATGTACGGAGAGGGTTAATTCCTCAGTCAGGAACTTCACGTCATCCTCGAGATCTGGATCGTCGTACTTCTTGGCATCCATTAATTCTAAAGTCTTGAGAGTCTTGCACTGAACCATTTGAAGGGCAGCCTCTCGCTTAATCTCACGCTCCTCGACCTTGTTGAGAATGTTGACAAAGGATGCCAGAATAATTCGAATGACTTTTTCCTTTGTCGACTCTGAAAGGATGTCTCCAAGTGCAGTGATGACCCCAAGCGATGGAGTTTTCTTGGCGATGTCGGCGTTGAAGGTGAGGCACCAGACAGAGAAGATGAGTTGGTACTGGAGTTGGAAATTCGTCTTCCCGTTAAGCGCTGTTACCAGAGTCTGAACTCCGTCCGTGACGACAAACTCGTGGCGGTACTCGTCATGGCGGAGCATCATTTGGAGACAACGAGCAGTGGTGTTCATGTATTCGTTCGTCTGAAAAGCTACGTTCGGCTGATGTTACGGTCTCTCTTATCTTTACCGTTGAATTCTTAAGCTGCTCCTTGAGGAAGGAAAAATAGTACTGAAGATCTTGTCCCTCCATACGGGTGACACCGAAGCAAGCAAGTTTAGCAATGATGGAGCTCATCTGGAAGCGAAAACGTTTGCTGACAAATTTCAACTGTTTCAATACCTGATTAACAATGAAATTGTCCTGCCGCTGCAGGATTCCGAGGTATTGGGAAAACGCGGTGCGCTTCTGACGGTGGGCGGCCTTGTGAAAAATCTCAACTCTGGATTTATCCTCCTGAAGCATGTCGTCGAACAGGGTGAGCACATATCGCACATTTTGATCCTTGGCGACTTGGGTGATCAAGTTGGCCATGGTCTTGGCAAGTTGTCCATTTGCGTCGTTGGCAGCAATGACCTGGTCGCGCTCGTCCTTTGACTGCAAAGAAATTGGACTAACTTTCTGGAATAAATGGGCGAAAAATACCTTGGCATTCTCGTAGCTAGTGACAAGGGTGTAGTCGTCCTCTTGAATCATCTTAGAGCGGAAATACGATCCCCAGTTTGGCTTGTTGCTACGAACCTGGAAGAAATAAAGGTTGTTGATGGCGAACAATCGATAAATCTCACCTCTGCGGCTTCCAGTTGAAGACGCGACGTAGCGTTGATCATGTCGACTGCAGGAATGTTGTGATGGGCAACCTCCGCCATTGCTGAAATTTAATTGTATTGATTTTCCATTAGCAATGAGCAAGAAAACGGTTTTCAAACGATAAATTCAACGAATTTTATGTAATTCTAGGTTTTAGATCATAGCGAATTTATTTTTGAGCATATCGTGCAAAATTTTCCAGATTTTGAGCCGAAAACAAGTTTAAAAAACAATAAAATAAACAAAACGCACAGCGGGGCAGAGAACAACAATCACTCGCTGGTCGGCAAAGCGTGTCGAGACCCTACGCACAGTTAGAGTGAAGAGAGTGCGCGAGCGCGAGCGCACACTGTCTGCGTCTCTTCAGCGAGAAGGTAAGGTTGAAGGGAAAAAGAAGAGAGGAAGATGTTGAGGACGGACGATTTTAGGAGAAAAACGAATGGAACGAGGAAAACGAGTACTTTTTTAGGAATATATCGATCCATAGTTGAACTGCGGCCGCATACGAGATGACCGGGCACGAAGAAGAATTCTTTGAGAATTTTCTTTCTCATCTTTCTTTTCCTCTCCTTTCGTTTGGATTCTTATGAAATTTGCTGGAGGCACAGAATTAATTAGTTGGCAGATGAACAATAATAATGGATGATGACAGGCATCTTTCTCTCTAAAGATTTCATCATTTTTGAAGAGGGTCCGAAGTCCTAATTGTAACAATTTTCCTGTCTACACCATTCGCTCACCCGGCGAGTTTATGTTTTCTCACGTTTCGCCTGGACAACAAGATGATATGTGGAGGGTCTTCAGGTAAACCTTCTGCAAAAATATTTCAAAACAAAATTTCGAAACTTTCCCGACTGCTTCTCCAGCAAAATTTTTCCTCAGCGAACAATTTTTATAGTTAGGGGTTTTTCTGTATTTTCGCAGCTGTCGAAAAACATGTGTCGTTTCTCTATAAGCTTCCTCAACACATTCGAAAAACGGGGACGGTAATTGTTCCGGGCGAATACGGAACAGTTTTGGAAAATTTATCGAGGCCACCCGATTCTTTACGTTTTGCAGTTTAGGACTATTTCGTAAGCACCTGAAAAAATGTTTTGATTTTCGTTTCTTTTGCATTTCTTTCTTCAGATATTCTTTCCCAGTAGAAACAACTATTTTTATGTCAGAAAGACTTCAATCTCACACCCCCAAATTTTCAACCAACATAATTGTTAGTTGCGTTAGTGTGTGTGAAAGAGAACTCAGCCTTTTTTGCCTCTTTCTCCTCGCGCCACCGATCGATCCAGACTTCTCGCGTCTTCAAGGACCCTCCATTCTGCGCTGCTCGGTAAGTCGTCCAAGATTAACGACCGCCCATTTCCCGTCGCGATATCTACTCTTCTTTCTCTTCCACATTCATTTTTCTGCTTCTTCTTCTGCTTCTTCTTCGGCTTTTTCTCTTTTTCTTTTTCATCCTTTAGGCGTCCCAGATTCACTTTCTCTCGTTCCACACCAACACTTGACGTGGATGCTCTCTCAGCATCTATGGAGACGTGAAGTTTCCGAAAACTGCTCTTTGTAACCTGTAGCAACCGGCGCCGCATCTGCCTCGAGGGACCTTCGGAGCTCTCATTTCTTTTTTTCATCCACTATACTAGCCTCTAATTTTCCTTCTTTACTTCCTATTATGCAAGTATTTGAGCTCTTTCGTATCATTTTCTTTCTTCTCATATCTCTTTTCTTATTCTTCATCTCTCTTAAACCTCCAATAAAATTTCTTACTCTAGGTGTTCCGTCCCTTGGCTTGTGTCATCATGGCCTACCCAATCACATTTGTTGGAAACCATCAGGCTTCTGTGGTGTATTTAAACAAACGTAAGAGACCTGTAACCTAGAAAAAAAACGGAAAATTCTCGAATTTTCAGTTCGAAAAGAAACTCCAACTGCTGGATTTGTCGAGAAGCGATTAGATGATGTAGGTTACATTTATCTAGGCTTTTGAATAGAAATTTTTTAGCGTGAGCATACAATCTGCGGAAAGATTGCTAAGCTCACACCGGTGTCAGTGCCAAACTCAAACCGACACGTCACCAACTTCTTCAACAAGATTCTTACTCACAAATACATCAACGAGTTAGTTAAAATAATTGTTTTTCCAAATAAAAGAAGACAATTTAGGAGTGTGCATGTCTACAGCACTTATCTTTTCGATCGGCTGTACCACAATCAATTTGGAGTTCCAGAATTGCGGAAAAAAGAAAACGTAGGCGCAATAAGCTTTGAAATTGAAAATTAAAAATTCAATTCAGTTTGTGGAAGACCACAATATTCTATTCAACGGCGTTGATGATTACAACGTGGTGCAGAAGGATGTGCTTGTGGTTCCAATTAACTACGCATTTGCCTGGTAGATCACAGAGTAGAATTGGTAGAAAAATAAGGAACTTCCAGGCACCTGGTGGTTATCGACAAGCCAATGAATGCGGCTCGCAAAAACGAAGAGGTCCAAATCTACTTTGTTAGCGCTCATCAGGTCACTCCAGAGCATTCAATGTCAAAATTCGTCGCCAGATACATCGAGATGGCATTCGCGGTTCTGGGATTAAAAACGTACCCAGAGAATTTTAAATACCAGGAGTTGGTTCTGGAAAGCTGTGCTAGCCAATCGCAAGTACTATGCGCGGTCTACACCGAGCTTGTATTTAAGATTGCAGAGCATAAAATGGTAAAACTTTTGTATTGTCCGAACAAATAGATATTTTTTGATTGCAGGGCATGGAGGTGTTCTTCTCGGGATTCAAGCCGCAGGCGCAAGACAAAAAGTTTGAGCACAAAATCTTCCTGCGCTGCATGGAGAGCCTTTTGGAATGCATCGCCGTGGAGGTAGAGTCACCTCACTGTTCAAACTTTAACTTTTTTCCAGAACAACCCACACGGGCAGCTTCCAGGATTCGAGCTTGCTCTGATTGAGGATGAGGATCTTTCATGGATAGAACCAGCCAACTACGACAAACTTCTTACAGACGAGTACCAAGACGGGTTGATTCGTCCGGTTCGTCAGTTCATGGAGCCATTGGAGCATCCAGAGCCGATGAAAGATTGGTTCGCCAAGCAAGTTGCCAAGCGGTGTGCCGGCGACTCAACGAAAATTGTGTATTATGGAGAATCAGATTCAAGCCATTCGGGTTGGGCCGGCGCTTCCTTTGTTGGAGATTATTCCGATGCTGATGAAGGAGCAAACACATCGTCCATCTAAATACATTCCATTCCTTTTCAACATTTCAAAACGTTCTCTCTACTTGTTTTTTCTTCTTGTAACAATTGGTTTGTGACACACAGAATCTCTTCCTTTCGTAATTCTTAAGACTTGATGGCATTTCTTCCCACACGCCTTCCATTTCCTGTTTTTTTTCTGTATTTTAGTTCGCGCTCTACACAAGTTCAGGCCATTGGCGGTTGCTTAGCAGCCAAATTTCACATTAGATTTTGGGAAAAATAAATTTCACATGGGAATACGGGTAACGTCAATCAATCAAGCCAGTCACGAAACAAATTCTTAAAAATATGCTGAAAAATGTAGGGAAATTACGATGCCGTGTGACAGCTTCAGAAATCGACGAGGAGTGACACTAAATTTGACTACAAAAATGGAAAACAAAGAGAATCTAGTGGATTAGCAAAACTATGAACATTAAAAAAGGTGATGATTGAAAAACTTTTTTTTTATGAAACTAAAAAGATTCTGAAATGTCCACAATCACTTTTCAAATTTCATGCAAGACTTCAGGTTTTTCGAAATCTAAGTACCGTAAACACTCTAATTGAAACCGACTTTATTTGCAAACTTTGAGCTCATACATCTAAGTTTCTGATTGAGATATCAAAAAGTGATCAACTGACGGAAAATTACTAATTGTATGATAATCATTCAATTAGTTGACCACTTTTTGATATTTCCCACAAGAACCGCTATATAAAAGCTCAAAGTGAACAAATTGGGTGACCTTTTATTCGCCTATTTACCGTTGTTGTGAGTGGACTACGAAACAATGCATTTAGTAAAGGATGTTTTTCTAATTCCGGTTCAAAAACTTCAGAAGTTTTTGAGATTTTTGAGTTCATTAAAAAAAAAGTTATTGGCTTACTGAAATACAAACCAATTGGAGGGTACGAAATTCTCAATTCTAGATTTCAGTACTAATTTCTCAATTTTCGAGTGAATTTTTGAAAGGGTTAATAAGAGTTTTTTGGTATCTTTTGAGTGTGAATTGTAATTTTAGAAGTTCCTCTACAATCTGACAGAGTTTTCTCATTTTTCAAAAAAACATTTTTTGGAAAACAGTTGCCATGAGGCAAATTTTTTGGCAAATTTTACAATTTTTCGAAAATTTTTTAATGTGCTAAAATGAATTCTAAACGCATAGAAATGATAAAATAAGTCTTTTCACAAGATTAGGTAGCATATATTTATCTCGAAATCCCAAATAAGTGATTTCTTCCAAAATTTAAATAGATCGTAGTCCTTCGAAAATCACCCAGTAGCACTTAAATATTGTGAAAACACTGCTTTACAAACTTTCTGACAGATTTATCACTGTTCCACACCCAATGTGATGAAATCAGGGGATTTCGACTGACATTTCCACTAGATAAGGTTTTCCAGCAGTGCTTCAAGAAGTTTTCGGAAAGTATTTCTTGGTATTTTTTGAAATAAGTCAGAAATAAATTTTTCTCTCAAAATATATGGACAAATGATTCTTTTTTCGAAATTTTTTTTCAAAGATTTTACCACATTTTGATAGCTCCAGAGTGTTCAGAAAAAAAAACAAAAAAATTTTCGGGACAGAGGGATCGAACCTAACCCTAGTCAGTTTACTATCTTTCCTTCTTCACCACCACACCACACTTATCTGTTTTTCGCTGATTTCACAATTTGTATAAGAAATGGGGAGAAATAACGCGTGAAAGAGAGGTGTTTTCAGGGTCATAATTTCAGACGCATTTTTTTCACTTATAGGTACCGAGAGGCGCGAAAAAAATTTATTTCGTTATTCGCCATGTCCGATAGTATATGTGTACCAATTTTCAAGAAATTCTCAAGCGGTTTCTGAAAACATCCATTGTTAGAGTAGCCCCTATACCCACCACATACAATCTCAGACTTCTACGACCATTTTGAATTTTTCCATTGCCATCGCCTGTTGACCCAATCTCAATTCTCTCAGAGAATGTGTCTTAAACCGGAAGTAAACTTTATAGAATATGTTTCAATTGTCATTATCCAAAAAAAAAAGAAAAAAACTGAAACTGAAACTTGAATTCTATTTTGAAAAATTTTAGTATACAAGTAATACGATAAACCGGAAGCTTGATCTGCTACTCGATAAAATTTTTATTACTCATAAATTTTCCATTTTCCATCACTCTCCTACCAATAAAACCTGGTGTCGATTCATAGCAGCCTAAAAAAAGCTCCCACAAAGTGAGTAAACGTGGTGCCTGTCAATTATGCCACCTGTTGTTGAAAACAATTATTCATACGGTGGGTTGATGTCAGATTCAGATTTTTATCTTGATTCCCATTTTCACTCATCTCCCCTGTCACCTCAAATGGGCATGAGCAAGAGAAGGTCATTGAGAGGAATTCAGAACATGTGGTCAAGTTTAGAAAAGACGGAAAAACTTTACTTCAAAGAAAGAGGAAAACGAGCAAACAATTTTGTTGAAAGGTAAGCCTCTCATCAAAAAGTGTTTCATGTTACCGATGCTTCATCATACTTCCTTCTCTCTAATTGCTTAAACGGATACGGTACAATTATACAGTTGCGAGTCGGCGTGCGCCTCACTTTAGATAAAAGGATGCGCCGCGCCAAGTTCACACCAAACGCCGCCACCCGATTAGAGACTTGTCTTGACAAGATCTTCCGCTCACTCTCTTTCATTTCACACCAATTTGGCAACAACGTTTTTATTAATGGATTTTGATTTTTCATTTTTATGACAAAAAATGGAACTAAAGGTGGAATATATCTTTTTCAATTTTCAGTTTCATTTCGAACAATTTTCTATTTCTCTTTCTCACTTGCAGTCTTAACTCTTTTCTCACAATTACCTTCCAGGGCAATTATCTCAATACTCGTATTATTCTAACCCCTTATCTCATCAACAACAAGTATTGCGCCACCGCCTCTAGTCATAACAATAATGAGAGCCATGACATGAAAATGATTTCTACGCGCAGCTTGCGTAATGCCCGGATTGTTCATTCATTCGAGCTTCTAATTAACCTGTTATCTGGGTGTCAACCTCCTGCTGGGAGTTTCATGAAGTTAGGTAACAGATTTCGCACTTCATACTAATTATACGCATTAGCACCGAAAAAAGTACCAACACTGTTTTTTGATGTGATCACAGCTAGAAACATTTGTTCTTAAAATAACATGTGAGCAAACATATCGTTGAGAAAAAACTTTTTTCATGTCATCCCAAATGGCGGAACTAATGAGGTGTGATATTTTTTGAGACACATTTAGTTGCTTGTGTATGGAACGGTTCGTTATAAAATTTAATGAAAAATGATTCGTAACTTGTTTCGAACTATCAGTAGTTGAACAAATTATAAATTTTCTGGGAATTTCTAATTTTCTAACAATCAGCTTACGTATTTACTCTAAGCCAACCGAACATAAAAGTATAATTATTTAGATTCATGCTAAAGATGTCAAATATTTGTAAACTGATAAACGATTCATCATGATATCACCAATAATGCATCAGTTGGCAAATTTTTGATATTTTTACATGAATCAAGATAATTGAGCTCAAAGTTGACGGTGTGGATGAACTTCTGTTTGACAAAACAGGAGTTAAATAATGTTTCAAATTCAAATTCATTTTGAAGGATTGGAAGAAATTAGCTAACATTTTCAGATTCTGAAAAAATAACAGGTTTTTTTTTTCTAAAAAGACTAAAAACGAATTTCGTTCAATTGACTGTTAAATAGACTCGATTGTTGCAAGAAAAGATTTAGTTATGTTAGTTCATATCCCTATGCTCACACTTTAAACTAATTTATTTCATTTTCTGTTAGCGATATCAAAAATTAGTCAACTGATAAAATTTTCGTTTCAATATCACCTACATTTTATCAGTTGACATATTGCCGGTATATTTTATGCAAAATGAGATAATTGAGCTCAAAGTGCGCAAACAAAGTGTGATTTCATTAAAGCAAATACGGTATATAGAATTTTTGATAGTACCCCATTCCATGTGATGATCGAAAACAAAAATATGTTTTTCAACAAGATACAACTCTGGAAAATTATCCCAAAAACAGGGTTACTATAAAAATAAAATGTTTCATAATTATCAATTTTTGAAAACAAGATACAAAGTTTTGTATTGTAACTTTCTGGATTGCTGTAAAAACAATCCTTTGTCAGTAATAAACACACACACACACACACACACACACACACACACACACACACTTTCCAGTTTATCATAATATTTTGATTCTGAGTTTTCAGTTTTAAATATTCCTACATCGTCACCCAGATAGTTTTCGATTATTTTCACTTCCCAGTTCTCCTTGTACCCAACCTAAACATTATTCAAAAATATAGCCAAACCGTTTCGTTTCTCCAAATCTGTAACGCTTCTTACACGCTCTTGGCCTTATACCGTGGCAGATAATTAATCACACACTGCCTCCTTTTCTCCCGCCACGCACCACTCTCAAGGAGTACTGTAGAAAGGCGGGCGGATGGGCGGAGCTTATTTGGTATCGTCTTCCTCCTTGTTTTCTCGGACCAGGACATTAGATAGTCACTCATTTCTATTTCAGTGTTGTTTGTCGCTCGTGGATCATCATGTCCTGGGAACAATATCAAATGTACATGCCACAGTGCCATCAAGCGGCTCTCATGTACCAAACTGTTGGTTCTATTCCATCTACTATGACCACTCCTCTTCAAAGCCCTAATTTCTCTTCTTTGGACTCGCCTCATTACCCAGAAAGTCTTTCGTAAGTTTAAGAATTTAGAGGTACAATTTATAAGAATTTATTTTTCAGGTATTACAGCACCGCCGGAGGAAAGGATGAAAAGAAAAAGTGCCGCCGCTACAAGACGCCATCTCCACAATTGCTCCGTCAGAGAAGAAGTGCTGCCAACGAACGGGAACGCAGGAGAATGAACACCCTGAACGTCGCTTATGATGAGGTATGTTCTGGGAATTAGAGAAAATTTGATCGCTAGAATTTTAGCTCCTGAGTAGTTCAATTCTTGGGGTTTTTTTTTCTGAGCCATTATCAGTGTGACTGATTTAAGTTCAATGCTTAAAAAAGAGAATGAGGACAAATCGTTTGACATTAATAGCAAATTTAAAATTCGAAATCATAACGGGAGGGTATATTGTAGGAGGTGCAAGCCTCTATGACATGAAGGACATATCTGGTAACAGATGTTATCCCTCTTCTCTCCCCTATACAAGTAATTTAATGTTTACCTCACTCAATTTCGCCATGCAATTTCATCAATTTATGAGCTTCGTGTCTTCCTTCTAATTCACAATTCATACGATTTCAATTTGCAGCTACGAGAAGTGCTTCCGGAAATCGATTCGGGAAAGAAGCTGTCAAAATTCGAAACTCTGCAGATGGCCCAAAAGTACATCGAATGCCTGGCCCAGATTCTCAAGACGGATGCGAAACCTGAAAATGTCAAGAACAAAAAATGATTTTTGTTAAATTTGTTCCAATTTGATATATGGGTTACGTGTCATCCTTCTATTTTTTTTTCAAATGATTCCTGTGTTTTTTAATTCCCTTATTTTCATAATTCTCACTTATAGCTTTTACAATTCACTTTTTCCTGATGTTCTCCTTTCGCGTTTTTACTTTAAATATATTAAATTCGTCTTGTACTTTTTTTTCAAATTTTACATGAATTTTAATCTTGATGCATCTCAATCCAAGCCAGTTTTTTTCAGGACATAAAGAGTCATTAGCAGTTTTTTGTTCAAGTACCGAAGATCCATAAAACTTCGAAATCTAGGTCTACGGTAGAGAAAACCATTGACACGTGCCGCGCATCTAGATAATAATCTTTTTAATGAAGGAAAGTGTCGATTGGCTGGGCAAGGGAAGGAGCCTTGTTTCTGGTTTTCCTTTTCGCGCAGTTTCTTAGTTTACGACGTTTTATTTTGAATTTGTGAAGATTGGAAAGGAAGAAGATGATGGAATACGGTAAACTTTTAGACAAAAGATATAAAGAATGGTGGAGGTAATATCCATAGTGCAATCTATCAGTCATACCTGTTAATCGAGTAGAACATCTAAGATGACACCTCGGTCAGAAAAAAACTGTCGAACTGTGAGCAATGCGTTTTTCTCTTGGGAAAAATGTCGTCTTACGATTTTTCATTGGAAATCATTCTTTAAACGAAAACTTTTTGTCAATATGATCATTTCTTTCCCGTCACCTTATTTTTTTTAAAGACGCCCAGCGAACTCGTCAACTTTGAGCTCAATTATCCCAAGTTTTGAAGAAGACAACAAAAATTTGTTAACTAATAAAATTTTAGCGATATTATTTTAAATAAGTTATCAGTTGACATGTTTTAGAGATCTCTCACAAAAATCGAGATAATTAAGCTTAACGTTGCAGATTTGGGTAGGCTTCTTTTAGAGAAAACACCAAAGCTTCTCGGAAATTTATTTATATTGTCTTAATATTTTTTGTCTTGTGCCCCTAGTCTGCTTAAGACCAAACAAGAGATTATCTAATCGAAAAAAAATCACATCCCTCAATGCATTACTGTCAATATGATCAATTTTTCTGGTTAGCTCCACTTCTGAACTGTGTTTCTTTTTGAAATTCAAATGTTTCGTCCCTCACTAAATATTTGCTTTAGACCATTAAATTCCTAATGGTAAGTCCCCAAAACAGTCGAATTTTATGCACTTCCGGCAACTGGAACTTTCCATAAGTCGATGCCAAATGCCAATTTTCGTTATCAAAAGATGATCACGAGTTCCTAACACCCACAAAAAGAGAGTTATCAAAAAACTGGGAGTCATGACTTTGTTCACATGGTGTGATGCGGTTAGTTCAGTTTTGCCTATGGGACATAATACACAGAATCATATGGTTTCGGTAATTATGAAATTTTTGGTAAGACAATGATGGCATAAATGACGCTGTTAGGTTTTAGATTTGTTTCCCTTGCAATTCTGATACCTCAGCAATCTGCCAATTGTTGTCTTGTGTCACTTTCTTCGCCCTCTCTTCTTCTCTATTTACACAGTTTCCACCTCCTGCTGCCTATCTCTTATTCTTCAACAAACTTTACTATCTCTGCTAATGTGTCCTCGGTAGTATAGTGGTGAGTATCCGCGTCTGTCACATGCGAGACCCGGGTTCAATTCCCGGCCGGGGAGAAATCTTTTTGTTTTTCGAAACACCTTATTGTTTCCATAGAACAAAGAACCAATAAACATTTGTGCTTTTGCGTAATGCTCAGTCATCCAAGATACCGCCAAATAGAGAAGAAATCAGTTGACGGTGATGATCTATCGGATCGTAAACATTTGATTGTTTCTGTGTGTGTGTGTGTGTTGCCCCCAGATGTTGCCGCTTGTACCATCATCACTTGCCGCCCGCTAGCCGGAGTCGACTGGATTACGCAACCCACTTCTTTGTAGAAACATTCCGCATGATAATTATGTGGACCGTATTTTTCCGAGATTCATTTCTCACTAAATGACCTTTTGACGTCTGCCCTAATAAAAAGCGGTACACGAGAAGACCGGTTAACGAGCAGGGAAAAGGGGGGAATACCTGTACAACCTTCTTTTTTTTGATTACGCAACCGCAATCCTTTAATTGGCAACAATATGAACTGTCACCGCGCGTATCTCTAAAAGATGCCGCAAACATCTGCTCCGAATTAAATGAGCAGGTAAATGTAAGCCGCTTCCGGATAAGCAACAATAATGTTTGGTAACAGGTCGAGGTTACTGCGCTTCCATTACGTTTTCATTAACAAAAAAGCTTCATTTTTCCAGGCGATTCATTTTCAAAAAAAAAATACAAAAAGCTGAGTTGGCAACAACTTGTGGCATCTTTAAAGAGGTTTTAACATGGGTCATTTATTAAAGCTCCGACTTGGTCGCTGGAGGCTCATCAAACTCGAATGGACAATAGTCGGGATTGTTGTTCGGCTGAATACGGTATCCTCTGGAGACCAATCTACAACGCAGTTCGTGCATTCGGGGCCACGCGTTTTCGGCTTTTTGTGTCTTTTCGGCTGGTGACCAAAGTCTTTCGGCCGCTGCTGACGCTCTTGGCCTAAAAGTTTCAAACATCTTGAAATGGTAGTTGCAAGTTGGCACGTTTTAGAAATTAAATATGCAAGAAAAATGTGTCAAACGGAAGTTCTTTGGTAAAGCAAAAAATTCTAGAAGAGGTCCTTTTTAAAAATGAAGACAAAGGGTTCAAAATTTTGCACTGTAATGATAAATAATTCAGTTCTCGCAAAATATTCAATGAATAGTAGGAGGAACTAAAAATGTAACATCTTCAAGAGCTAACTAAAAATACCTTTACAGTACCCATAACAAACACTCACCATAATCTAGCTTCAATATTAGTGTTATCCACCAACTCTCCCCAGATCGCAGCTATTCCTCCAAGCACTAGATTTTTCTGAGTATCAGTTCCATTGAAACTGGTTGGGTCACAGTAGTAGTATCTGCAATTTATTTCATTTTTTCTCTGATTCAAAATCTTCAAGGCACCTTGAGTTGGACGGAGCAGTTCCACGAATCTCGTCTCTCCAATCGGCGCCGTACTTGATATAGTTCAAGTACCAGCATGCGGACACAATCACCGGAAAGTTTTTCGATGTGATATTCTTCACCTGCTCATAAATCTCCTCGTGTGTATTTCCCTTCCAAATATGGATAATCGAGTTTGGATCGGGAATGTTGTTGTCGAACACTTCTTGCCAGAAGATTGGTTTGCGTTTCAATTTGAGTTTTTCCACAATAGAAAATAGTCTAAAATATGTTAAAGTTGGAGAGGAAAAAAGGCAATTTGAGAATCACTTTTCGAAGAAATAATTTTCAAGGAGCACAGTATTATTTCCAAATCCCTTCTCATCCATGAACTTCCGAATTTTTTTATTCCGGACCCAACACTCCACAATGTAATCTGAGACCTCATCACCACCGAGATGCAAAAACTGATCAGGGAATGTTTCAGTGACCTCTTCCAGGAACTCCTGAATTCAAATTTTCATTATCTTTATAGTTTTCTGAAGCTCCCTCACAGCAAGAAAGTCAAAATTGGCATCATTCATTGGATCCACCAAATTTGGCAAGAATGTTTCTTCTCCCTTCTCATCAAAACATTCGGTTAGAAAACCTTTGCGACCCTTCCAGGATGAAGTGTGTCCCGGTAAATCGAATTCAGGGATGACACGAATACCACGAAGTCTGGCAAATGCAATAACTTCAGAAATATCCTCTCGAGAGTAGACGTGACGAGGAGAATAGGCACCCTGAATATCAATAAGGACCATGTCTAGTTATATTTTAAGAAACAACTAACCACTCCATGAAGCTCTGGAAACTTCTGAGAGGTGTACGGGAAGGACTCACTGTCCACAAGATGCCAATGGAGAACATTGAGTTTGTTCATTGACATGATCTCTAATTGGCGTTTGATAACGTTTAGAGATAAGAAATGACGGCTGGAGTCGATCATAATTCCACGAACCGGGAAACGAGGTTTGTCAAAGATTTCAGCTGTGCGGATTTGATACTGGAAGATTTGAAATACAGTACTGGTCAATAAGATATACAAAACCATATTCGTCAGTTTAGTCGGGCATTTTGATCATTTTCAGGAGTCTGGAGCTTGGCTGTCAATATTTAGTTCAATTTGAAAATTTTGGAGGATACAAAACAGACCTAGATGGAATTCTTTGCAACTATTTTCTGATTGCTGGGGATCACATGTCTTATCACGTTTTCAGTACCAAAATGTGCCAAAAATGGTGTTTTTCACAAACAACTGAAAAACTAGAAAATTTTTCAAAATTCGGATAACGCGAAGTTTTCAATCTAGGTATGTTCCTCTAACATTTTCAAAGTGATCATTCACTTATAGCAGTGCTCCAGACTCTTGAAGAGTGTCAAAACAACCTAAACCAACATAAAATATGTTTTTGCATGTCTTATTGACCGGTGCTCTTGACCCGTAATACCGGCAAGAAAATACCAAACGTTAACACATAATCTGTTTTACAGTAACCCTATCTCACCTCTTGAGACTTCTGATCATAAAAAACCAGATGACTCAATGTTTCCATTGCGCGAAGTGCTCCCCATACGGTTTGTGCGTTAATGACTGCCTCCGAGACACTGACACGCAACAGATCTGCAATACAGATAGTGGTCTGTAGTTTTTTAACCAATTATAGTAAAACATACACTCCTCACTAGCTCCGTGAACTGGTGGTCCTCCTGGGCACTCTTCTTTCACTGTGACTGTGATAATGAAATCTTCAGTTCCACCGGTTTTCATCTCAACTGGGTATGGAAACAACCATTTGTTCACTGAATAATTCTTTTTTTTTGGTTTTCATCAATTAACACTGGAACTCACTATAATTGTCCGCCATTGCCAGGAGAACATCGCAATCCTTCTTGTCTCCAAGATCGATTCCGATTTTATCATAAGTAAGCGTACGGTTCTTGGAGCCGTAGATAATTTTCTGTGGGAGAGGCCATACCTGCAAATGAACCAATCAATTTTGATTGTTTCGCTTTTCTCTTTATACCCCTCCGACACTCCAACGATCCGGCTCGTCTCGGCCATAGAACCACGCAAGTGTGGAGGTAAATAACAAAGATAGAACTATAAGTCGCATTACCTGGAAATTAGAAATTATTTGTAACAAAACACTGGAGAGAGATTAAGCGATTTTTAAGCATTAAGATCAAGTTGAAGGAGAAGAAAAATGACCGGCACGACTTGAATGTTTGCCTATTTCACTTTTTCATAGCGGTCTTTCTCGATTCGTGAAAACGCTTTATTTGACTTTCAAAAAAGTTTTTATCGCGCTTCAGCACTTTTTTGTTCGATTGGATTTGGACAACTTGAAGTTAAGAAGAAGATAATATGAGAAACAAAATGGTCCTGCACTAAAACACAGTGGGGCACTCAGGAAGTCATTAGACATGCTGAAGTCAGCAAGTGTATTCCGCCTTGGGCGAGAAAATGCAGCAAAAAGGAGAATAAACGAAAAATTTGGAAACCAAAGCTTAAGAGAGGACGATGCAGGCGTCAGATTGTTTGCCTTGAAAACATCATATAAACAAAATCGAATCCATTAAGCTAAGTTTTCCAAACATCAGAAAGTCATTTAACTAAATTGATAAACGTTTTCTAAAAATCGTTCAGAACACTCTATTCCTTAGTTTGTCTCGGAGCAGCTAAACAGAACGAAAAAATAACGCAAGTAGATTGAAACGGCGGAGAAAAGGTCTCTGGGGGGATTTTGACATGACCCTTTTTTCTCAAAATGTGCAAACATCGAGATTGTTGTTTAGTCTCCTCCACCAAACAGTCTTGCCTTGAAAACAACCAAGGGCGTAGCTGATTAAAATGGTTATATAGAAAGAGGGGATAGGTAAATTACACCGAACACAACAACATGATGGCCCATGATATCAGTGTTTTGTACAAATAACATTCTGTTGTTCATGTATAGAAACAAATGTGATAAGATTCCTTGTCGGGTGCCTAAAATGGTGTGTTTGGGAAGAAAAGAACTTGTCCTAGTTTTTTTCTGACCCTTCCTGTAACAACCTGCAATAAAAAGTTTAACAATACCTCAAAACCCATTTGTTAATCTTTTCCACCTTTCTCTCTTGGAAATTTGATTCAGAGTGATGCAAAAGAGAGAGAGAAAGAGAGAAGAGATATTTTTCAAAAATAAAACTTCTCTTATCATCATCTCGAGTTTCACAAGAGAAGGGGTCAAGAAAACAGCTGGCAATCAGCTGGCGGCTCTTTCAATCATCAGTTGGAAAAAAAGTGGTCGGGCAAGAAAAAAATTGCGAGAACATAAGAAAACGAGATTAAGAGATTTCTGGAACTTCAAGAGCACTTTTGTTGGGACTAACGATTGGACGAATAATGAACTTAATGAAAAATCATTGTGTCTTTCTGAGACAATAGGAAACTTTGAGCTTTCATTAAACTTCAAGTAACCGCTTCAGTTCTTCAGTTTGTGATGGATAAAATTTTCTGAAGCAAAAATAACTGTTTTCTCTGAAAGAAGCCCACCTTATACGTGCACATTGAGCTCAATTATCTCGGTTTCTATGACAGTTATCAAAATTTTGTAAATTTGCCAGAGTTCAACCAATATTTTTTCAGTTGACAGAGTTTTGATATTTCTCATACAAACCGAGATAATAAAGCCAAAAGGGCACGTATAGGGAGATCTTCAATTAGAGGAAACGCGATGAGTATTTTCAAGCTTCAGATTTCAAAAAAGTGTTGTTTTAACGCAAAGAAAGAGTCAGATTCACATAATATCAAGTTAAGAGTCAAATTTCTAATGTGAATCTTATACTTTTAGGAAAATGAGATTTTTGTTTAGATTTTCAGATTCTCCAATAAAAAAATTTTGAAATTTTAAACAAAACATGGAATCATTTAGAAGACTAAAATGAGAATACGAACATTTTTCTAATGAAAAAGATTGAAAATTGTGATTTATAGAAGGTTTGAAATCTAGATAAAATCTAGACACATCCCAAGAAACGGTTATTGTGGAAAAATCGTTGAATTTAACAATTTTTGATTTTTCAGAAAAAAATTTCAGAGAATATTTATCATGAATGCCAATTGCGACTATTATCCAGTTTTGACCTCCGGGGAGTAATCGAAATTTTGAATCTTTGTTCTTTTTTCAAATTTCGGAACGTAATATGGGTTATTACGCTCCAAAGATTTTTTGAAGATTAGACTGAAATGCGATACACTAATAACTTTTTCCCCGGCAGTTTTTTTGGATTTGTTGTTTTTCGGTAGAGGGTCATCAACCACTTCACTTTCCGTGTCCCATATTTTGAATAAAAGTGAATTTTCGGCGCGACGGTCAGTGCCTTCTCGTGCCCCAAAACTTTAATAGGCGTCAGCGACGTGAAAAATGGCACTGGTCTCTCGTTGTTCGCCATCTGAAAAGCTTCCTGGCCATTGCATTTAGTCTAAACTGGGTCACCATGGTTTTTCATCGGTTTTCGAATCGGTTTGTGTATTGCTAGTCTACCCAAAAAAGACAGTCTTTGCAAAAATCTTTCTATTTGATCAGATCTGGTTGATATAAATTGACAGATAACTTTGGACAAGAGAATAATACAGAAAACCATAGAAATTTCATTATAAGATCATACATGTACCGTTTTGAGATTGCACAGTGCAATTTGAAAAACAGATGAGGAGTGAAACTGGGCTAATTATGATAATATTTTTTGGAGGATGATGATACAAGCATAGGATACGACATAGAAGCATTTTTCACCAAGTAACCCGCTATAAGTGAAAGAAAGTATTGGTAGTTATCCCAAAACAATAAAAGCTGTGAATAGAGTTTTCTTTAATGACTGAATTTGGATATCGACAGTTTGAGAGTGGTTTTTGGTGAGAAAGAGGAAGGGAGGGAGCACCTACCTAAAACGGTCGGAGTAGTTTACCGGTTTTTGGAGAGTAATATATTATAATTTCAAACACGAATCGAGATGTGTGTGAGAAGGGAAAATACAAGCCAAGTGGGGAAATATGAGAATTCTGGAGGATGGGGTTGGAAAAAAAGTGAAGGGGACGATTGACTGAGGTGACGAGAGGGGGGATCAGGTATCACAATTTTTTTTTGAATGCTGGCCGTGTGCCCGTTGTGGTAAGACTAACAAAGGAAACAAAAAAAATATTAATATATATATATATATATATATATATATATATATATATATAAATAAATAAGTTATAATCACAATAAAACAAACTTGACTAGTTAAACGGGGGTTTTGGAAAGGTAAAAGCGGGTTATGACAACGGAAGTGTGTTGGGTACCAGACCCATGAAAGGCAGTTGGAGTTGAAATCAGGGGAAACTTTTGGTGAATCTTTCTCGTCCAGCGAGGTATGTATCCAGCAAATTTCAGTATTAACACGCGGCGGCTCGTCGACATCTGCCTTCATCGCAGCAGCAAATTCGAATCACACGGCAACCGCAGCCAGAGGTCAGGCATCTGGATACTTTGATTTCCTGAAAAACAAAAATGACTAGACAATGATCACATGGTACTTTAAGCTACCTCAACGGTCTGTGTCCCCATGTCATTCTTCATTGGGATCGGTCGGAGTAGGCTGGCTGCTTGAATCACCGGGCTTGTTTGGATGGCGGCAAGTGGTGGCAGTGGTTTCAGGTCTTTCAAGTTCAGAATCTGTGTTGGTGGAATCGCCATTGAGGCTTCTTTCGGCATCTGTGGAGTGAAACTGCTGACAGAAAGGTTTGAAGAGAGTGGAGCAGCTGGCGCTGTTGCAGCCTGAGTTGGTCCCTGGCTGTGTAGCTGATGCTTTGAAAGTGCAGCGATCGTTGAAAGTACGTCTAGTCCGCTTGGGTTGAGCATTGCGTTTGCCCAGAACATTGCGATCGGATCTTCAATTCCACCCATCCACGAGTTGTTGAAACCGTTGAGTGCGGCTGGTTGGAGCAAGTTGCTGTGCTCTTGTGGTTGATGGATTTGTGGAGGATTTGGTGGAGGGATCTGGATGGTGGGCGTCGTACTGAATGGAGATTCTACTTTAACCATTGAGATGGAGTTATTAAGGAGGGGAAGGAATCCAGTGATATCGTTGTCCATTCTTTGCATTTTGAATACATTCTCATCTTCCTCCTAGAATAGATAAAAAATCAGGTACTGTTACGAAATATTGTTATTCCTCACCTCAATTTCAATTTTCATTCTTTTCAATGGGTTTGTGGACGTCTTGCTCTTTGGCTTTCTTGGCTTGCCTTCCTTATTTCTGGCAGATACTAGGCTCTTTTTCAGGCTTTCTTTGTTATCGAATGAGACTCCTTCGCTCAAATACATACAAGCTTGGTTGATAAGGTCCCCAGCATCGTGGTCAGGATTTTCGAAGGCAGCATTGATGAGTTGTGACTGAAAAGAAACTTTGTTTAGCTTGATGGAATCTCCGTAGAAGGTCAAACAGATTTTTCAAATTTCAAATTTTGCTTTTCATCGTGTGTGGCGGCGGTGAATTGCGTCACTATTGACCTCTTCCGCGACGACCCAATACTCGCCCTCTCCCGAATTTCAATAAAAGTTCATACCACGGACAATTTGAATGGCATCGTTCGACTGCGCAATAGATCGGAGGATAAAAGAAGAATTGGCGCATCTAGGTTAACGATTCGGGTGGTAGGGCGCGGCCTGGCCCCGGCGCTTGCCGATTGCCATTCACGGCTTGACCTTGGCAAAAGCGTGCGGATCGGGCTGATGTTTGCGAATTATTTGCGGTTCAACGGAAGCGCCTCCTGTGGATTGCGACACACACCTGGGACGGGAAGGCCAAAAGTTTTGCCGCCGCCGTGCCACGCGCGAAATTGTTTTATTTGACCTGACCAAGTTTTCGCAACTGACCCACGGACACCCTGGCGCTACCATCCTCCGCTCCGAATCGGAATCGCCGCGCATTCGATTGCCCTTTTAACTTGTATGTACATAGACAGTTTCGAAAAGTACTTGAAAAGGGCTGATCGTATTCCTCTCTCCCGATCGGGCGCCATGAAGTGACATTCAAAGGTTACGAAAGATTGGGATTATACGACGGCACGTCCCTCAGGAGTACACGGGCATGATTTTTTCGAAATTGGGTTCAAACGATTCGCACATGACGTTTTTGAAATTTGAACTTCTAGCTTAGCCCCAAGGAACCAATTGGAACAAAAGATAAAAAGAGATAAAAGAAGAGAGTCAGGTGGCAATTTCCAACCTTATGATTTCGTTGCTCTCATCTGGCACCGCGCCAACTGTAAAGGACACAAGCTCTTTGCCTCTACGTTAAGTCATACTCTTCTTTTTTTCTTTCGTACCTTGATGAATTCGATCTCGGCGACACGGTGCTTTGGCGGATGATTGTGCGTATTCTTTGTGCACGCGTTTGAGTTATCACTCGTCGTCTCAGCTCGACACTTGCACCATTGGCCATCATCAGGCATCTTTTTGGCGCACACACATCGCCATGATTTGAAGTTCTTTTCTGGAACAACCTGAAAACAACAACTCGTGATGATCATCACTGGATGGTCTTTGGTACCTGATAAATGTTGTATCGATAACCCTGATACATAAGTTTTTGGTATCCTTTAAACGATGTGACGATTTGTGGGATGTCTGGGTTGTAGCGGATGAATTTTATCTGAAAATATTTATTTTTATATTTACCCTTTTTGTTTGGAGTAAAGTGCCAGAAAAAGGAAATGGTGTTTCCCGGTGTCAGGTTGTTTTGAAATTCGTGTAGGAAGCGCGAGTCCTAATAATTTTGCCCGCCTGTACAAATACGCTTGGTCAACTATGCAAACTGTTCCTCACTCTCTCTCTCTTTCAAAACGGTATGTTTACTTTTCGGACAGTCCAAACAGTTATCTCGAAGAGTACTCACCTTTTTCTTTTCCTTGTCCGGTGATAGTGGCATACTGCTCACGCTAATCGGTGAGATGGCGGAAGTGTCAGTAGAGGAAGACGAAATGTCGGAGGATAGTGGCTTTTCCAGACCCAACATTGTCTGAAACAAGAATACCATGACGGTGATGATGTTCAGTGAACACGAATTGAGCAGTCGAGTGACCTCTGATGAATTAAGAATTGAACTCAAGGTGACTGGACAGATGATAAGACAGATAGAAAAATAGACGATATGACCAAGCAAGAGATATAACAAAAAAAAACGAGCGGACCAGCGGTGAGTAAAGAAGGGAGCGAGGTTCAGACACCTAGAATCAGACGACTTTTTTTCTCATCTTTCTCTCCGCCCCAAGGTGTCCTGGCACTATCAATTGGGGCGGACAAAATCAGCTGATGGAGGGGCAGTCGTCGGGAACAAAAGCGAGAGAAGAAAAGGCGCGTGCCATTTGAACTGATAACCTATCGTGGCAGGCACCAACCGGCTGCCAACTACTCTAAGGGGCCCCGCCAAATACTGTTATTAAGGATGAGAGAGGTTGCGCGAGTGTGAGAAAACAAGAGAGAGAGAGAGAGAGAGAGAGAGAGAGAGAGAGAGAGAGAGAGAGAGAGAGAGAGAGAGAGAGAGAGAGAGAGAGAGAGAGAGAGAGAGAGAGAGAGAGAGAGAGAGAGAGAGAGAGAGAGAGAGAGAGAGAGAGAGAGAGAGAGAGAGAGAGAGAGAGAGAGAGAGAGAGAGAGAGAGAGAGAGAGAGAGAGAGAGAGAGGTAAACGGTAGCCGGGAGTAGAGAAAAATAGGAAGGATGAGTGACCGACAGGTAGAAGAGAGGCACATACATTAACTACTGACTATACGGAAATTGGCGAGAAACATGTGTCGAAACGAGATTGACACATTCTCATCATGTTCGAATTTGGTAACTTGCGGTTAGTTGGGGTTGGTAGAGAATAGTTAACAAAATGAAATTGACAGTTGTTAAAAAAGAAAAAGAGATATTCGAAATGTTTTAGAAGAAAATGCATAGTAATGGAAAGTTTTTCGATCTCATTATTCATTTGACAACGGAGATAAAGAAAGAAAATGTTGATATCGCGGGAAGAGAGTAATACAGTAACCAGTTTCGATGGCACACATTCCGCAACATGCAAGGAAAATGGTGGTGCCGGGGTGCGCGGCGGCGGCTTTTGACTTCGTTTGACCCACAATCTCCTCCTTCCTTATTCCCGTCCGCCTGATCATAATACTTTTTTGACCGCTTACTTTGGAATATTCCGAGAATCGTGTGGCGCGGAAGATATAGTAAAGGCATAGGCGCGAGGTATATAACGAGTACCGTTTTAAGTTTCACTTTTTTTTTGTTTTGACGGAGTGGCGCGAGAGAGGGGGTCATCGACGAAGTGAAAGTTTTTGAGGAGTAAAAATGACCAGGAATGGACAGTGCTGCGAGTTTTGGTAAATAAGCACCGAACAGACTGCGAAAAGCTATTATAGTTTGGGATGAATGCCAGCGCGGCGATTACCAGGAAAAAAAGGGGGACCGCCCCGCATGACCTGCGCGGAAGACACGGATTGACACCGGATTGATGGATTCGGGAGGAAAGGCAAAAAACCGCAAAATTAGGTAATTGTCAGGCGCGAGATTTGGATCATCACATTGGCGGAAGCCATTGTCAATTGCTTGACCGCTGCGGGTGGCACGGTCAGGCCCGCACAACCTTGGAAGGTACGATTACAGGGTGGGGGATGTTGCAAAAATGTTTCGGTCTTCTTTTTCTACGTCTTCTCATTTCCCTTGAAAAGTGCAAGGTCCTTTTTAGCGAAAAATGGCGTCTGAACAGTTAGTACCAGTGTCGACCATCTTCTTGGAGGTTGCAATAAAATCGAGGAATTTAAAGAGTGTCTAGTAATCAGTGACCGCCAAATATATATATATACAAACAAAAACCTATATATTTTCTTATCAGTTTTGTATATGCTCTGTTCAGCGAAAAATTACCGATCCAGGAACGGTCGGGCACCAAGTGGACAACAAAAATATTTACTTGGCACGGGACACATGCTGATAATTCTTATTTCCGTAGTTTTGGAATTACTTGGAACTGTATGAAAAATAGGTGAAGGTTGAGAAAGGAGTTGAAAAGGAGGAAAAAAAAATTTTAGACTGTATGCCTTCAACTCACTAAATTCTTCAACTGGTAAAAACTCCGATGGCGTCGTATGGTGCGAGTAAGGGGGCGGAGGCAGTAAGGGAACGGGGTCAGGTTGCCTGCCACGACGAGGTAGAAGGCCTTTACGTCCTCCTTTCCCTATTCTTCAACATCTTATTCTTCGTTTTCAATCGGCCGCCCTTCTCCCTAAATGAACAGCCAACCGCCAAAACATCCGCGATCCGATGGTGTGAGGCACGCGCGCGTACGTCGTGCCCTGAACCATTAGTATCCTCCGGAGGAGGTGGATGATGATGATGATGATGATGATGAGGAGAGAAGAAGAAGCGTCGCCTAACGAAGAAGGCATGAAGACAATCACAGAGAAGAACCATGGAAGAGGTGAAAAGGCGCAACCTCCGCATAAAAACAACTCTCGAAATCCGCCTTGTTCCGACGCTTCTTTCAACTATGGTAACCGCCGTCTCTCGGCAGCAGCAACAGCAATTTGGCGCCAGTCGGCGAAACAACTCTCACTTTGGACGTTTTGCCCCCAATTTTATCCCTCTCAATAAGGAGGAGGTTTTTTGCATCTAATTATTTGACCGGATGTTCAAATCCGAATCCTTCTAGCAAAAAATTTCGGAACAAATTTTATTTGAAGCAAAACAGAAGATTGAGACATGGAGCAGAAACTTTTGTTTATACTAACTAGGAATTTCAATTTTGTAAAAGCGCAAGAGCTGGCCATCAATTAGTCAAAAAACGCCAGCTCCGCCATCTGGGGTTTGTCAGACAGGGTGATGGATGGGAGACCCCTATGGCAATCGGGAGGAAAAAGCGAACAAAGCCGTGCCAGTCTCCGATCGGGTCACGGCGAAATAATTTATCGGGATTTCGTAAGAGATGACGGCGATAGGATTCGGAAGAAAGGCATCCAGAAAAAGTTGAAGATATGATATCATATGTTCAGGTCCAGGACCAATCCCGAAAAAAAAACTTTCCATTTGCCTAATTTGTCCGAAAAAAAGCGAAAGAAGCATTTTGGAGTCAATCTAGTCGAAAATGAGTGAAAGGCGATTTTACTTTCTATAGCTGAACCTTGATTTGGAGAAAGTGAATAAAGAGGGGGCATGGTCAAGAAGCTTGGAGAAAATAAGAAGAGTGGGCATTTACGCCAAAAAAAGCTGAACACACTAGTCTTGACAACAGCTTCTGTTAGAGACCAAATCTAACAAGCTGAAGTGGTAGAGAGGTCTAGAAATTTAAAATCAAGATAACTACTGAAAAGGGGATAACGTGAGTAAAGTGCGTTGGCACCGCCCATCCTTTCCATTTGACCCCGTACTTTCGAGATAAGTAAAAAACCGAGAGAAAAGATGATATGGTAGATTAGGGCGGAACACTAGTACATGCCCTGGTACAGAGGACAAAAATTAAGAGAAGAAGATAGGAAGAGAAGATCTCGGGTAATTAGGATACTATGTGTAGATTAACCGCGTCGCACTTCCGAGACTACGAACTTTAGAATTGAGACAGAAAATACAGGGCACCAGGGTGATTCTGAGAGCCAAGAAAATTGTGAACAGTAGGAAGGTATGAGCTTGAGCCCATATGGAAATGGGCGGGGTAAGTTTCGACAGTTGAGGAAGTGGAGCCATCCGAGTTGTGACAACCACGGCGGCGGGTGCCCGGAAGGAAGCACACAAACACCATCAAGAGAGAGAAAAAGTACAGTACGAAAGGTCTCTTTCCGCAAAGGTGAGCCCTCTTGGGGGGGAAGGTTTTACGGTAAACAATGACCCTTTGGGGCGTGTATTTATTGTGCTTCTCTGGCCACGTCTCGCGCAGTACGGAGAGTGGCACGTAACGCCACTGACCAGGACTGAGTGCAAACTTGTAGGACTCGGTCATATATCTCGCACTTTTCTTTAAGGGCACCACACTCTCTCGAATTTAGTACTGTATATTGTTTGGGGTTCCTATGGTTTGGTTGTCGCCGCCGCGAGCCAATCTTCTTGTTGCTCAATTTTGAACTATCTTCTTCTTTCCGCGTAGAACGCTTTTCGCGAACCACCAATACACATTATGAGCAAGAAAAGGAGTTTGTTTTCTTTTCAGAATATTGTTCAACGTTTTCAATCAAAACTTTTTGATATAAAAGATGAAAGCTGTGAGGGTATCACAATTCGATTGGCAAAAGCGGACAATAGACATGATGGTTACGCAACAAAAAAGTTTTTTTTCGCGCATTGGTCATGTCCCGGCGCCTAGCACCGTCCGGGGCTCGCGCAAAGGTCGCGGCGCCGCGCTGAATCATCCGTCCAGCGGGGGCCCATTGATGTATTGCGTCTAAGTGGTACTGTAAACTGATATTTTGATTTTTAATAATGAAAAAAAAAACTGTCTGAATGGCACTGGTACGAGTTGGTACTACCATTTGCCATTTGGCTCCGAGCAACATTTTTTTTACTTAATTGAAATTAAAAATGACATTGCAAACCAAGAAAAAAGGGTATAGACTGATAAAGGATGTCTAATAAGTTAGAGGGCAAAACCATCAATTAACAATTCACCAGAGATAACACGGCAAAACTTTGGAAATTAGTGTTGCACGTGTGGTGGGGCAGAAAAAAATTAGTAGAGGAAAAAAATTTAGGAGAAGGCCTTGAGGCCGCCTAGAGAGCCATCAATTTCTTGACCTCGCAACTCGACCGTTTTTTTTTTGTTTTAGTATTACTACGGCAGATTGAAGGGATAGAGAGGCAGTTGATTAGTGTGAATTCAATTTATATTCTTCAGCCGAGTTTTTCCATAGAATTGTGACATCTCAAAATGACCTAAGGAGTAGAAAGGCCTCTTACGCTAACAAAACAACTGAAATTCAGTTATAAACTTTGCTTTTTTTGTAAATCAGGAAACATTTTTAATAGTTTGAACTATTCAAATAATATT